CATTTTAGGAATAAAAAAACTGAACACTGACGTTCCCAATAGGCTCAGATAGGGGTTTCCCAAAGTCCAGTCATATTTCTGTTTACAAAAACAGCTGTAAGTTATTTGGCACTACATGATAAACGGGCATTTTACTTTAACATTGCATTCATACGCGGTTTATAAAGCATCTTAAGCATCCATATGAGTAATATGGTAAACAGCAAAGACTCGCATTATAGAAATTTTAGTTCCTCGTATATAAAATTTACGATTCGGAAATTTACGAAACAATCTTTGTTTATCATATAATGTAATTTTGAAAATAATGCATGTTTACCACATAATTTCACCGGAAGAAGTAGCTTTTAAAACCGCGTATTTATACAATTTGTGAGTGAACCGCCAAATTTGTCATGTTGACAAATGACTTGAAGCCATGTTTGTTGACATAGTTTGGCGACATGCATGTTTACGACATTATTTCACCGAAAGAAGTAGCTTTGAAAACCGCGTATTTATACATTTTGTGAGTGAACCGCCCTATTTGTCATGTTGACAAATGACTTGCAGCCATGTTTGTTGACATTATTGGAAAACCCTCATCTAAGCTTACTGGGAAGGTCAGTCAATAGTTTAACGAGAAAGAAGATATTATTGATATATGGAGCTTGAAAGTAGTTCCTACCCGGCGACCTCATTTGAATATTTATCGGATCCTGATGCCAAGTGTATCGGCTTGGTTTATCGCGCAAGCCTTTACAAGTTAAAAACACAAGCCTTTACATTACAAAAACCCAAGCCTTTACATGATAAAAACACAAGCGTTTACATGATAAAAATATATATCCCTAAGATATGATATTTGCGATACGGAAATGCACTCAGTTAATAATCTCTATGTAAGGACCCATATTGCCGAAGCTGCCACTGTATATTTCTGTCATGGCAGATTAACTATAGTAAACTGAAAGAAAAGGCTCTTCTTTAACTTCTTTTGAGTTGTATATTTTGAAATTAATAAGTAAATCCACGCATCCAGGGCGACTGGGATTGTGTATTTATAATAAAGCGATATTAAAACACATATTCCAGACGATTTCACACTGAAAGGGTAGCCTAGTGGTTAACGCATTTGGTCGTCACGCCGAAGGCCCGGGGTTTCGATTCCCGACATGGGTACAATGTGCGAAGCCCATTTGTGGTGTTCCCCTGCCGTGATATTGCTGGAATATTGCCCAAAGCGGCGTAAATCACAACTCACTCCCTGAAAGTAACAGTCCGTATAAGCGAGGTTTTACTGTACATGCAAACCCAATGTATCAGTGTGGCATACAGTCCCAATTGTCTGGATCGATGCTCATGATATCAATCACTGGATTGTCGGGTCCAGACTCGATTATATACAGACCGCCGGAATAGTGCGGCGTTAAACAACAAACAAACAAACACAACTTAATTCAGAGGGTTTGTCGATAAGATTTTATCATATTCTTTTCCTGTTAACACATACTTGTGTTGGCGAAAAGTCTGTCCCGCATTTTCTAAACGAAACTCGTTTAACCAGACACAGTACAAATCCATGAGTCAGAAAAGAATAAAAAGCTCGAAATCAGTCATATCTTACGTAGTTTCATTGTGCAGTGCCTGCAAGCACTGGGGAACATTTCATCAAAATATATTGTTTAGTAATAAATAATGATAATAACAGAAGGTAATTGTTGGGTGTACAGGGCATGATTAAGAAAATTGTTGTCATGGAACCCATAACGTATCAACTTTAGCACCTCTACTCATGACCTTTCAGACTATCTGAATGACCCATAATTTGGCGATCAAGTGTCTCTTTGGCAAACATTGTAACAAGGTTTTAATGGATGCTGTATTAAAAATCAGTTCGGCATGAATAAATAGCTTATTGCCCTCTCAAGGGAGTCAGCACGTCGGGATTGCAGGTCGGAAACGCCTCCGTGGTCTAGTGGTAGAGCGGAAGGTTCTTGGTTCGATCCCCGGCCGCGTCATACCAAAAGACGTTAAAAGATAGTTACCCTGTCTGGCGCTCGGCATTAAGGGGCTAAAACAAGGACTGGTCGGCTCGGAGTCAGTATACTGTGTCTGAGTGGGGTATTCATGTTAAACTGCGGCATGGTATCTCAGTGGGCTTGCATTATAAATCGGCATCAGTCCGGACTAGTACAAGCAGCCACACACGTACACACGTACACACGTACATGCACGTCGCTTAATAAGTGCGATAATCTTGAACGCTCTGTGATTTAACTCTTATCGTCGTACTCCAACCGCGTGAACGCTTTCATTCTATCAATCACTGTTTACTCTGATCCAGCCGTGATGTTGGTGGAATATTCCCAGGCTGCAGTTATGTAGGTGGAATATTCCCAGGCGGCTGAAATGTAGGTGGAATATTCCCAGGCGGCTGTGATGTAGGTGGAATATTCCCAGGCGGCTGTGATGTGGGTGGAATATTCCCAGGCGGCTGTGATGTAGGTGGAATATTCCCAGGCGGCTGTTTGTGTAGGTGGAATATTCCCAGGCGGCTGTGATGTGGGTGGAATATTCCTAGGCCGCAGTGATGTGGGTGGAATATTCCCAGGCCGCCGTGATGTAGGTGGAATATTCCCAGGCGGCTGTGGTGTGGGTGGAATATTCCCAGGCCGCCGTGATGTAGGTGGAATATTCCCAGGCGGCTGTGGTGTGGGTGGAATATTCCCAGGCCGCCGTGATGTAGGTGGAATATTCCCAGGCCGCCGTGATGTGGATGGAATATTCCCAGGCCGCCGTGATGTGGGTGGAATATTAGCAGGCCGCCGTGATGTGGGTGGAATATTACCAGGCTGCCGTGATGTGGGTGGAATATTCCCAAGGCGCCCTGATGTAGGTGGAATATTCCCAGGCCGCCCTGATGTTGGCGTATTGGGTAGGATATGCAATATTGAACCTAGTGTACAAGTGGACGGTGAATAGAAACCACGACACTCTACAACATCAGTGAGGATGAAATTGATTCAATTCATTTAATCTCATCAGACAACAATACGTACACATTGCACTTAATAATAATTCTACACATGTATATGAATAATATTTACAGAAAGCAATTAATTTTCGGATAAAACAGTTCAATAATGATGCACTGCGAAATTAAACTGATCGGAACGATGCACAATTTGATTGATTCTGCATGTATGAAGCTGAGGCCATGTTCGTAATTTCTAAAATAAATTCATTCGTCACCACTCGCCCCTTTCCGTAACCTGCTCGCTATTCGGCTTGTCCCGGAATAACACGAGTTGGTCACGAATGAAATAAATTGTCACTTAAATGCCCTGATGTCATCAGCAGCAATGCGCAACCCCAGCGACCGAATAGAGTGGCCGGGATCGGGGAGTCTGGGTGTCATCGTACTAGACGGATTGGACCGTTTCTCAGACCGCCGTAATATATTTGAAATATTGCTACGCGAGGCGTTAAGTAACAAACAAACACTTATGTGTCGTGTATCGTAGCAGCCATACCTACGCACATATCGTCGCATGATCTCTCATACACAGAGAATAATGAATTTGCATCGCACGTAAATAAACTTGCACGTATGTGTCATTGTATGAAACTGGTCAACTGCAAACAGGATCAGTGGCTGCCGAGTAACTTACAGCTGTCACCTTCAATGTGCTTAATCGCATAGGCCTTATTGATCACCATGAAACCTGTAGGATATCTCCATGCTTATTTTGTTAATACTAGCAAGTGCACTGAGAAACTATTTGATATTTATTCCTGAGCCTTCAAGATACTTCACTTTGAAATATATCCATTGTTTTCAAGCCAAATTGTTGCCAAAACCATTTACTCTGTGTAACAGTTAATTAATTCTCTGGGGCGGTCGGGTAGCCTAGTGGTAAAAAGCGTTCGCTCGTCACGCCGAAGACCCGGGTTCGATTCCCGACATGGGTACAGAGTGTGAAGCCCATTTCTGGTGTCCCCCGACGTGATATTACTGGAGTATTGCTAAAAGCGGCGTAAAACCATACTCACTCACTAATCATATTCGCTGTTTTACTTTGGCCACGGGGTAGAGGTGACCAAGTGATGTTTTGCTTTTGCCGTTATGTGATCAGCTGGTCCTGGTTCGAATCCCTGAATCGCCCGATTAGGATCTTGATGTTATCAGCAGCGCTACCTGTGCTCCTGGGGTTCACCAAAGTGGTCTTAACCTCACGTATTACGTTGACACGAATATATATATATATTATACTTTTAATGTTCAATACATTTTGAACGATCGTCGAGTATTTAATGGTGCAAGTTCTAACACATGTAAAAACAAATTGTACAGGAGGGAATCCCAGCCATTGTTAGAACCTTCTCTCGTCATGCAGATATGTTTTCGGTATGCAGGCATTCCGGCTTAGAACAGGTCCCAAACAACCTATAATGGTCATAAGGAGCAGTCTGAATGGATCTGAGGGCCAGGCTCGTTCATTTGGTTGATTGCATGTCATAGTATCCCGAAAGCGTGGGCCGTTGCTCATAATATCAGTAACTGGATTGTCATGCGAAACTGAGTAATAATATATATGGTTTATTTCATGTGTTTCCTAAAGCGCTTCTTTCATACACTTTACACACAATTACTTAAGCTCACCTTACGTTTTGTCAGTTTGTGGTGAAAAAATTAATTTTTTTAAGTTACTGAAAATCAAATTGCGCAATAAATTGTCTAATCATTTACGCGTCAAGGGTGGTGGTTAGGGGTTGTGGTGGGTTGGTAAAGCGTTCGCTCGGCACACCGAAAGCCCGGGTTGGATTCGTCACAAGGGTATAATGTGTCGAGTCCATTTCCGGTGTCCCCCGCCCTGACAATACTGGAATATAATTTAAGGTAGCGTAAAATTATACTCATTCGCTTTGCGTCAGAGAATACGCTATATAAAAATGATGCAGATTTTGATTTAGATCATATTTAGATTCATGTTAAAACGTGTTTGTCTCTGTTACAGGTTCGGGTTGATCAGTGGCTTGGCCTCGTGGTCGAGGTTGCGTGGAAACAACGATGACGACTGGATCGACCGCATCAACCACCTGTGGACAGTGGTGTTGCTGACGATGTTCACTGTGGTGGTCAGCAGTGCCCAGTACGTGGGCGAGCCTATACACTGTTGGTGTCCAGCCACCTTCACGTCCGCCTACATCTCCTACACCAAACACATCTGCTGGGTGTCCAACACCTACTACCTCCCCATGAACGACGTCATCCCCATCGACATCCGGGAACGACAGGACCGAGAGATCACCTACTACCAGTGGGTGCCAATCATATTCCTCTTCATGGCCCTTATGTTCAAGATACCAAATTTTGTATGGCGGGTGTTCAACAGCGGTGCGGGGTTGAACATGGAAAAGATTGCCACCATGGCAGAAAGCACCCAGATTGGGTCCCCAGATGAGAGGGAAGTCACTATTAAGCATATAGCTTCGTATTTGGACAAGTGGCTGCGAGCGCACAGGCAGTACCACTACAACATCATTGTACGTGTTCGTCAACGACTGTCTGGTGTGTGCTGTTGGTGGTTCGGGAAGAGAGATGGTACGTATCTCACCGGCTTCTATCTGTTCGTGAAGCTCCTCTACTGCGTCAACATCATCGGCCAGTTCTTCCTCCTCAACGCCTTTTTGTCCATCGACTACAACCTGTACGGTTTCAACGTCATCGAACGCCTGATGACGGAGGGGTCGTGGAAGGAGTCCCCGCGCTTCCCACGAGTCACGTTGTGTGATTTCGAGATTCGGCAGCTGCAGAACCTACAGAGATGGACAGTCCAGTGCGTCCTGCCCATCAACCTCTTCAACGAGAAGATCTTCATCTTCATCTGGTTCTGGCTCTTCCTCATCGGCGTCCTGACCTGCTGCAACTACGTGTCCTGGTTGTACCACATCATCTTCAAGCAGAACCGGGTCAAGTACATCAAGAAGTATTTGCGCATGAACGACGACCTGAGAACTGGAGCCGACCTGAAGTTGTGCAAGAAGTTTGCTAATGAGTACCTGAGGGATGATGGCGTGTTTGTGCTGAGGGTCATCCAGAAGAACTCGACAGACCTGGCGCTGAAAGACCTGTTGTACCACCTGTGGAGGTTGTTCAAGGACACGCCCTACACCACCAAACCCCCCACACACGCAGTAGAGATGAACCACAAGGAGAAGGGGGAGGAGGATGAGTCTTTTGCATAAAAACACACCTTTTATATTGCAGTATTGGGGCCCCCATCTTAACAAAAACGTTGATGTATATCCTGACTATTTTGACATTCAATACTGCCGCCGAAGGTGCTCAAGTGACGTGTTAGATATTTATAGGGGCTTCCAGTTAGTCGTGATTGCGCACGGATGTGCTCAAAGTTGAACATGTACAAATGTCAGCGTGTCTTCCAGATGATGATGTCATGAAAGGATACTCAACCACTTCAGAATATTGACGACGTTCGCATAGATGTGTCAAAGTGTTGTATGCTGTGGGCGGCTTTCGTTGCCCTACAACAGACTGGTGCTATTCAGTAACCACTTCCCACCGTGTATGGATTTATTAACCCATGTCCTGTACTATGCATTCATTAATGGCATTGTACAACCATTGCTCAGAAGGTGCCTTCCACCAAGGGCCACAAGCCTGGCCTTCATCACTGTCGGTGCTCATTGCTAGATATGTAACTCCGGGGTACAAGAGTTCGCTCACAAATCCACATCGATGTCTTGTTACGTCATATCCCAGTTAGTTGATAGTGATGTTATGCAGATGCCAAATTAAATATTTCTAGATTTGTATGTGATATGCCCCCAAGTATTACAGTAAAACGTCATGGATATGTGATAGACTGGTCTTTTACAAGACACAGTTGTACGCCCTATTCAAGAGTACAGGATCTCAGTCCACACACGTCGCTCATCAGCATTAGTTGTGTTACTGTTAACTCATATATTCTTATATATCAGTTGGTCCTAAAGTTTCAGTCTTTACATAGAAAGTTAAATATTAAGGTATTACAAATTGATTTAAAGAAAGGCCTGTATTCAATGCTTTCACTGTCTTTCCCCTCACACTATTCAGGGTATTATACCTTCATTAAAATAATATATAATAAGTACCATTGACCTATTTGCCACCACAGCTTCAAGTTAAGCCCTATTCCTATGGCACGACGTTAAAATCAGACGTCCAATCAAATTACTCTCATGAGAAATGGAGAGAGGTCATCACGTCCAAACGAAGATGAGGTGACGAAATGGTCCAGGATGTAAATGATAATAGATATAATGCACTGGATACTTGAGGATGACCTCGACGTGCAGAAATCTGGTTGTTTCTGTGAGATGTGACCCTGCTCTCTACATATATATGATTTACTGCGTTGTTATTATTACTATAATGTAATATCTACCGCATAGCAATTGTAGGCTCCCTTTCTCAAATACATTACACGTTCCTAAAACTTTCCCAACGCACTGGTGTACACTAATTTGATTGTCAAGACATATTTTGTTTCCGCAATGATGCAAAGTAATTCACAAGCTGTAGAAATAGCTTGTGTATGTTAAAATCCCAAACAATTACGAATAATTAGTCTCACCACCAAAGCGAATAAGCCAATTGAAGACAAACAACAAACCACACTGTAACATGGTATGTGTCCAATGGTCGATACCACTGATGGTATTATGAATGTTTATGCCCGGAAAATGTCAATATTGCTTAAGCGTCGGTATGTTAATGGGCCATTTTCACCGCCAGGTTGTTTAGTATGCTTAGTTAGCTGCATGAATTGAAGGAATGCTGGCCCACTTTCAGTATATTCCAACTGTGAAACACGGCGGGGGGAGGTTTCTCCCCAATTAAGCAAAACATTGTGCCTTCCTTGAATATTCAAGTGGCTTGTATGCAAACGAATGTTTGATGGTATTTTTACCATTTGTGCTATAACAATGGCTACAGTTTATATTATTATTCCACATATGCCCGAAAATATATTTGAGCGAGGTTTTATCTTGAATGCATCTTCCGTCTATGCAAACTATGCAAACAAACCGTGAAATTGATTTGAATAGATTCTCAAGATTTCACAAGAACCGTATGCATACTATTTTTCTCTCGGTTTCATATAGTGATCATTCCTGTTCAATGCATTTCCATGTTTAACTGCCAAACCTTTGAACATTCACACAACGTTTACAGACATCTAAAGTACGTGTACAGTTTTATACTCGAGAAATATATCATTCCTTTCACAGTGCATGTCCACATGTTGGATAGATATGTTCCTGTTTATTTTGTAAAATGCCACATTCCCATGCCGTGAAAACTTGATGTCGTGTGCGTGGTAGATAGTACATTTCTCTAAGGTCCACCGATGCTTCTACACTGCATGGGAATACGGAATGTGGGATCGATGAATTTGTTTGAGAAAGTATCCATTCTTTCGAAAAAACTTGAATGCCTCGTGCACTTAACCGGATTGACAACACGTCCCCCCGTTCGTGACTACTCGAGTCATTCGGAAACCAATCTGAAGGTCTCCTCCTAACTTTGCGAAAGTTATTATCTCGCGGGGACGAGAGCAATTGTCAAGTTTGTGATCCCGACCCTATTTCCTAATGCAGTCTTAAGCGATTTACATTGTAACCAGCCATTATGATATTGTTTTGCAATACGAAACGGTTTTTGGTTGAGGTATTATTTTTTCACTTCTTTCTGCTTTCATTACTATTTGCTCTTGTTCTGATAAAGGTAACTTTGTTTCATTGAATGGTTAATAAGTGTGCGGGAGATGCTGTTTGGAGTGCAGAGACAAATATTGTCCATCTTTCTGGGATAGCCAGCGTATCGGAGGTTCAGGCCATGACACATGCTTGCTGTGGTGCCCCTGTCACGTGATATCTCAGCACACACAGAAGAGTATTCTCATTGGTTGGGCTGTAACGATTCACCATGATAGTTTGTTCCGCGAATAAAATATCGTATATTGAGATATCGTATCTACACAGAGATTCACATATGGTGTGAATAAATAGATTTGTGGAATAGTTTCCGGTACGTGTACATGTTTCGAGGATAATTCAACTGAATGATGTTTTCAAACAGTTTCATTTGTTCTCTAAGTAATATCTTCGATGGTGGAATTACAGTTCTTCTCATTCATAATATTTTATTTTTAGTTAACGGTGTTAATTCTTGTTGCCATCATGTTTTGTTGTGCGTTTCAACGTTTTGTTCACTGTTTACAAGAGTATAACTTGATATTGTTGTTTCCGTTGTTCGAAGCAATTAACAATTGGTTGACCTTTCTAGTCGTATCGTGCTGACGCTGCCGGTATAGTTACACGACAACTATGTAAAATGGCCATCACAGCGTCTCGCGGGGAATAGTATTTCTTGTGTGTGACATGTGAAATAAGGTTTTGAGTATTTTGATATTTCCGTTGCCAACAAAATAAGTCATGAGTCCGTATAGCCAGTTTGACAATTTAAAGGAATACATCAATGCTTCATTTTGCGATCGGTTTGTGTGTAGGATTTGTGCAACAATAACACAGGGCACTTTATCTGTGTTACTACAATAAATTCATTGTTTATGCGTTTATTCAAGATGTTTCACACTTCCTTAAAGCGTATTTAGGCTATTAGGTATTCCTGCATTGTGATCGAATCTTATGAAGACGGGAAATTGAAATTGTTTTATCTGTAATATGGGTCCTAGGTATTGTCAATAATGGAGTGGTTTCAGTGGGCACAATGGCTAACGAGAGTGGATTATCACTGGGAACGACCGTCATTCAACTCTAGTTTGGTGCTGTCGATCAATTTTTTAAGTATTGGTGACACAGCAATAAAAGTGCCGAGTACCGAGCCACTGGATATTATATATCCAACTAGGTCAGACTAAGTGCTAACATTTAGCGTACCTGGTTTTATCCCGCAACGAGTTTTCCATTGAGCATGGTTCAGTAATAGGATTAATTAATTAATCAATTGAGATGGTTAGACATTTGCTTGGCATAACACCAGGAGTAAGTAACATTGTAACGAAGCTAAGTACTTCCAATTTGCAAGATGACGTGTATGGAAGGTCAGCGAATGTAGCGCTGACACAACAACGATTGTACGACGCTTCATGTAATATGTCTAGTCATCTCGCCTGTGTCCCTTGCAATCAATTGTCAGTTATGGTTTCTGCGAATTTGTAACTTGCATTGATTTTGTCTTTTTGTACATATTAAGTTTGTTTCGTTTTTTTATTTCTCTCAATATGTAAATATTTTGCCGATTAGAATTGTTAAACTATTTTACTGCACTTTGTTGCGTTGCACGTGGTCTCCTTGTTGGTCAGGAGATTAAGGAGGAATCATCCTTGAGAACATGATACAATACTCGTGGGTATCGAGGGTACCTAAAGGAGGTCTTGTATGCTATAGTAAATTGCATGGTTGTCGTTACCTTAGTGTGTAGACTGTCAGAAATTACCGCCAGTAGCATTCAGCGTTTACATAGCTTTTGTTTCACATTGACCAAAGTTTTAATACATAAACAATACCATCGAATCCAGTGTATTATTGACATTATAATATAAAGCCATTGTCGGTCTATTTTTAAGATATTTCTTTTTCGGTTGTCTTTATTAATTTGCAATTTAGATAGTTGGTATGTTAAGGTAAATACAAGTTCTCGTTTGTCTATTATTGATTGTTTACATTTACACGTTTGCATGTCCAGTATTCTCAATGGCCAAACTGTCTCAACAATTTTGACATAATATTATTAAACTTATTTTTTGTACCAAACCGTTGTTTTCGTTGTAATTTTCTTGCCAATTACTTGACAATAATGACAAAGTGACAAATAGACTCAGAATACTCATTTGTCACTACGGTGTGGTAGATATTGTTAACGACTGACAAATAACTGGCTACCACTATATCGCTAATATGCTTGATAGAACGCGGAGGGGGCACGGATGGCCCAGTCGTTTAAGGCGCCGCGATTCGCTGTGCAGAGTAGCGTCCCTTGGGCACGCCAGAAACCTGTGATTGTGGGTTCGAATCACGGTTCGCCTCGATTATTTTTCTAGGTTTGTCAGCACCATACCCGTGCTCGTGGGTTTCACCGAAGTGGTAAACGTCTGAGACCTGCATCACTTCGGGCTTTCGTCCCACATTAAGCGGGGCGGTCGGGTAGCCTTGTGGTTAAAGCGTTCGCTCGTAACGCCGAAGATTCGGGTTTGAATCCCGACATTGGTACAATGTGTGAAGCCCATTTCTGGTGTCCACCGCCGTGATATTGCTGGAATATTGCTAAAAGCGGCGTAAAACCAAACTCACTCACTCACTCACTCCCACATTAAGCCGACACACCGTGATAAAACTGGAATAATGTTAATAGAGGCGTTAAACCCAACTCACTCACTCACTGATAGAACGTGGACCTGAACTATTGTTTAACGTCTGTGTCTGAAGTGCCTCTGGCCAAGTCGTGATAGATATATTCAGATTACCCTTGCTATCTTGTTTTAATTCTGCTCGACTGAAACTTACCTGCTATATGTTTATCATCAACAGTCTTTCAGGGCTCAATATGTGTACAATACACTACGTGAAGTATATATATATATATACAAAAATGAGGTAAATGTTCACTCGGTGTACATGTAATATATAATAAAATAATAAAGTCCACGTTAGTCCATCATCTTCTTTATATCAGTTTCATACATAGTACTTTCGCTGTCTCATTACACTGAAGAGCTGTCATGAGAAAGCGAAAGTACTATGTATGAAACTGATATAAAGAAGATGATGGACTAACGTGGACGTTATTATTTTATTATACATATATATATATTAACCTCAATGATAACCACAGGTACAAGACAAACTTTTAAATATAAACTACATACCTGACATTTTTGTTTCAGCCCATAAAGTAATTAATACTTATCGTTTGACTGGAATTAAGATCCACAACCGAGAGCATTGTTTCCTTGCCAATGGTATTTAGAGTTATTTCCCTTGGATTGTACATCAAGTAGCCAGAAGTTTGTAATTGTTAAGTCCGTGATATAGGTGTGTTATAAAACAATTATGTGTTTAGATGAACGATATATTATTCAAAGTAAACTTATCATATGATATCGACAAAGTTGGTTATAACCTGGTAACACGCTATTTATATAACCAATGAAAGAAGTAATATTTCTGTGTATTCTACCGGTTATCGTGAGTCAGCGTGTTACCAGGTTATTACCAACTTTGTCGTGATGCAGTGTAAGTATATTGTGTCAGTTACACACTGTGCATCATATAATCCCTCCATCCCTTTATTCAATATATACATAATGTGTTTGATACAATATATACATAATGTGTTTGATACAATATATACATAATGTGTTTGATACAATATATACATAATGTGTTTGATACAATATATACATAATGTGTTTGATACAATGTATACATAATGTGTTTGATACAATATATACATAATGTGTTTGATACAATGTATACATAATGTGTTTGATACAATGTATACATAATGTGTTTGATACAATGTATACATTGTGTGATAGTCGTCGCTATATGGCTGAAATAAAGCTGATGCGACGTTACATTTTAACTCACTCACTCATTGTGTGACACACATAATACATAATGTGTTTGATACAATGCTGTCGGTGTGTTTGATACAATGTATACATTATGTGTTTGGTACAACGCATACGTTGTACAATGTATAAATAGTGTTTGATACAAGGTATACATTATGTGTTTGATACAACGTATACGTTGTACAATGTATAAATAGTGTTTGATACAAGGTATACATTATGTGTTTGATACAACATATACGTTGTACAATGCATGAATAGTGTTTGATACAAGGTAAACTATGTGTTTGATACAACGTATACGTTGTACAATGTATAAATAGTGTTTGATACAATGTATACATTATGTGTTTGATACAACGTATACGTTGTAAATGAATAAATAGTGTTTGATACAAGGTATACATTATGTGTAGATACAACGTATACGTTGTACAATGCATAATTAGTGTTTGATACAATGTATACATTATGTGTTTGATACAACGTATACGTTGTAAATGAATAAATAGTGTTTGATACAAGGTATACCTTATGTGTTTGGTACAACTTATACGTTGTACAATATATAAATAGTGTTTGATACAAGGTATACATTATGTGTTTGATACAACATATACGTTGTACAATGCATGAATAGTGTTTGATACAAGGTAAACTATGTGTTTGATACAACGTATACGTTGTACAATGTATAAATAGTGATTGATACAATGTATACATTATGTGTTTGATACAACGTATACGTTGTAAATGAATAAATAGTGTTTGATACAAGGTATACCTTATGTGTTTGGTACAACTTATACATTGTACAATATATAAATAGTGTTTGATACAAGGTATACATTATGTGTAGATACAACGTATACGTTGTACAATGTACAAATAGTGTTTGATACAAGGTATACATTATGTGTTTGGTACAACGTTAGTCTGTCTTACAGATCCTGATACAAATATATATCAAATAGAGCCCATGCAAGTCTATAATGTTTGGCAAGTCTAGATCACTGCAGTATCAGTATCTGAAAATGAAGAGAGTCACTGGGCTCCTTTTTATTATATTTTTATTAAGATAACTAAACAACTGTTTTTTTATGTACGATATGTTCATTTCAGAGACTAGATTTTAGTCTAGGTACAACGTATACATAATCTTTTATACAAGGCATACATTAATTTATCTGTTTGACACAATCTATACTGTATGTATTTTCACAGTGTATACATATTTTACTCGATACAAACTATATATCACACGGGTGGTACAACGTATACATCGTCTTTGATACAATATATAAATACATTTGTACATAAATGATGGAATACTTTACAGAATTCAGAAACTACTTGTTGCAACGTGTTCCTGTCATATAAGGAGTAGTTAATGTCTGTTTCTTCACATATGGCAACTCTTACATGCACTCGACATTTCAAAATGCGCGTTTCCATTGGCAACCGACGATCGCGAATATTCGCTCCGGTGACAAATGCACAACGGCCGCGGTGACCTGGACTGCGCATTTCACAGCCACAGTTGCAGAACACGAACACCCATTATACCATCCGCCTTGTCGCCAAACTGTCACAGGTCGAAGTTGAGGGTAGCGAAATAGACGTGCTGGGACTACAGACTGTTTGATGTCTCTCCGTGCATTGCGTCTCAGGATTCAAATGTCAGCACTCTGTACCCCAACGTTGTAAATAATAATATTACAAGTGCCCCATTAAAGCTATCCATGATTCATGCTACGGGTAGAGGTGGTGCTACGGCAGTATAATATATATATATATTTGTTATGTATTGGACTGTCATTGAAGAAACGTGACAGTCATATTGAATGTATGACAGGGCGGATATTAACTTCAATATTAAAAAACATACTTAATATTTTGTAATAGCTGATAGCTGAAGAATTGTTTAAATAGTTTATGCTGTTCTGTATTTGTGTCAGTGGTACACGTTTTATACTTATGATTTGGCATTAAACATCAGCTGAACCTAGTCTGTAAGTAACAACAAAATTATAATGTTGATGACTGTATTTTGCCATGCGCTGGACACATGGTGTTAAAGTGGTCTCTCCGTGGTTCGTGTGCGATGGTGGAATATGTGGCTACATGATGTCCGGAATACGTCATGTGTTTGAATATATCCTTAACATTGATCTTAGAATACCAACAAAATTGTTTTACACTTGTCTGTGTAACGTTTCAGTAACTCTAATATGATAAAGTGAGAGAGTATGGTTTTACGCCGCTTTTCGCAATATTCCAGCAATATCATGGCGGGGGACACCAGAAATGGGCTTCACACATTGTACCCATGTGGGGAATCGGACCCGACCGCCCGATCTACAAATGGGAAACCGCCTTTGACAAAAACAGCTTACAACCTGTACGTTAAATTCAACGTCAGCTTGATGTTAAGAGGGGGCACGGGTGGCCCAGTCATCTAAAGCGCCGCGATTCGCTGTGCAAAGTTGCGTCCATTGGGCACGCCAGAAACCTATGATTGTGGGTTCGAATCCCGGTTCGCCCCGATTATGTTTCTAGGTTTGTCAGCGCCATACCCGTGCTCGTAGGTTTCACCGAAGTGGTAAACGTCTGAGACCTGCATCACTTCGGGCTTTCCTCCCACATTAAGCTGACACGTCGTGATATAACTGGAATACTGTTAAAAGCGGCGTTAAACACAACTCACCCACACTCACTGATGTTAAGTTATACTTCCAACCTTCAGCAAATACAGAGATATAACAGTATCTCTCTTCGGCTTAGATGTAAAACCATTCTGCCACTCAATGCATATTCGGTTCAGCGTTTCGCTATTTACCTGATCAGGTACACCAACGGCATTTTACATTATATCGCATAATAATAACTCGTCAATCTTTGTATTAAAAATTTATTTCGTTGTCTTTATTTTGTATTGATAAAACCCATATCCATATTCACAATAGAAGAAAAAAGCTTAAATGATATCTACCACATAGTATCACATAGCTGTACATCGGGAGAGCCTCCTTTCATCCCATGCATTGTCCCATGTAGATTACCTCGACCTCCACTGTAAACATGTCATTATCCCAGCCACTCGAGTATACAAACAATGATTAACTTAATGGTACAATGAACAAGGGGGATAGTTATATGCATCTTCTCTATTACAATGAATGCCCTCATTCATTGTAATAAAGAAGTTGTATATCTATAGAAATAGCTACCTTTTTAACACATGGTTATCAAGCAGAACTTTGTTAGTATCAGCTGTGCTAGGCAGTGGAGGTTGATGTATTTCTATACATTCCTATCTGAAGGATTTGATTACACGTAATCACTCGGTCATGAAGCTCACGCTTTCACATTCATTAAATACCTAACGCCCTAAATTGGCTTTAAAATTAGAAAACAAAATTCCCGGGAGATTCCGTGTGCCGTTTACAAGACAAGCATCTTTGTTGTGTGTTTTTAACATTGAAAAAAAATATAAAGAGAAAATTAAAACATTAAACATTCAAAACAACTAAACAGAACAAAAGATATATTTTCGTTAGAAAGGTTTGAAAGATTTTTCTCAATAGAACCATTTATACATGGATTTTGTGACGATTGCTTGTTTGTGATTTGATTCACGGAAAAGTAAGAAAAGTCACGAACATAAAAACGGCGCCCTAAACCTGTATGAGTATTGTCATGAGATATCTCCATACCCCCAGGGCGTAAATGATAAGATAAAAATATGATTGTCTCAAAAATGGAGACGAGCTTTAACCCACTCTGAAAGAGAGTGGAGTTCTAGTGCAATACAAACCGTACACCATAATCCATTAAACAGTGACATATTTATGTGTATTATTGCTAACTGTATTTTCCACTAACTGGAGAATAAAGAGTGCCTCTCATCAGAATAACATGCATATGTTCTTACAGTATGTTACAGACAATATTCCATGAAATGACGTCGTTTTGCCACAGATACGTTCAACAAGTGAAAACAATATCATTTGGAAAAACAAAATAATTTCGCAACGGAAATTACGAGAAACATTTTTCAAGAAGTACCCGTATGATGATTGTGATAAACATGTTGGAATACCCGGATGTTGGTGAAAAGAATCACGTTCACGAATAATGATGAGAGAAACATCTTCATGGCCCCAGAAACTATCACAGACTAGAAGTAGTGTTTCCACACACGTATTTACAAAGCATTAACTGTACGGAATGTGTACATCATCATATGTTTGACATAAGGATCTGCATATTTCATATAACATACTATTAACTCACCCTGTACATTCATACAATGTGCAACATCGTGGAAGACTTTGATCATGTTGCCGAGTTTGCAAGGTTCAACTCGAGGTTAGACAATGCTTTACTCATGAATATCATGGATTAATACACATGACAATACCCTTTGGGTAAAGTACATATACAAAACAGGCGAACCTGTTACCTCGAAGGTGTTACTCTCGAGACAATGCCTAAATCGAAGGTGGACATCTCGAGAAAATGCCTTCATCGAAGGTGGACATCCCGAGACAATGCCTATATCGAAGGTGGCCATCTCGAGACAATGCCTTCATCGAAGGTGGACATCCCGAGACAATGCCTATATCGAAGGTGGACATCTCGAGAAAATGCCTTCATCGAAGGTGGACATCTCGAGACAATGCCTATATCGAAGGTGGACATCTCGAGACAATGCCCATATAGAAGCTGGACATTTCTAGGTTATGCCTACATCGAAGTTCGAAGTCACGAGGTCATGGACACGACTGTGGTTATCTCGTGACAATGCCTCCCTCGAGCATAAAAAATGGCCACTGATGTTACTTTCGTCAATGCAAGTGCGTGTAGTTAAATTATTAGTTAGTTGGTTATATCGAATGTTTCATTTTGATTCTACAACTTCGAGACAACAGAAGAAGCTGTACACAGAAAGCAGAAATTGTTAAATATCACATGGTCCATCTTTTAGGTATCAGATCATTTCAACAATAACATGAGAAAATATAATGGGCCATTAAAAATCTACATGAAATTTCCAAAATATTCATAAAAACGTATATAATTATTTTTGACATGTTTTGCGAAAGCGGTTAAATGCGTAATATAACGACACTAATAAATATTGTATATAATATATGTTTGATACGTCTTGCTGCAGATAAAGCACTTTTAAAGGGAGGTAAGTAGGGTCATTGCCAGAGGTAGGCTGATAATGAACTATTATATATGCAATATCTATGCCATTGCGTAGTGTCAGATGAGGCATACAATGTGCCATGTTCCTGAAGACGTAATGTAATAAATGCCAGTGTCTTTACATTTGTGGGGGGAAGTGACAAACATCATGTTAATCATGTTAATACAAGTCCAGTTTCAGTAGTTGAAACTGCATGCATTGTCAACAGTATTCATAACACATATTGCAAACTTGACCACCCTCCTGTTACACAATGATCCTTTGAGGTGGATTTACCAAGCCCATACTGTGATATTTTGGAGAACATGTTTTCTTCACCGTATGTGCCATTTTATCCTTAATGTTATTGGTAATCATCTGATTATTGCTCCAATATTTAAACGTAACACTGTATATAATGTTGCAGGACCCGTGTGATATAAAATCGTTTAGCACTGGCTGTACGGCGGGAGAACAAGCACATGTCAGCATGACACTGTTTATTTCAATATACCATCCTCCTTGCCAAGATGCTGATCCTTGAAGCGAGTCCATAGATTATTGACCAGGTCCAGGGCAACAATATGGCCGGTGTTGTTCCGTACCGACCTGAGAAGAAACACGCCATCATCTCGGAGATAATGGCTGACAAATTTCTTAAACAGTTTCTTCTCATGGTTGTCATCAGACACATCAGCGAGACCAACGTACTTGGCAACGAACTGTTCACGTCGTCGTCGGAAGAAAATATCAAAGACCCATTTGCCGAAGTTGACGACGGTGGCGCACACGAGGAATATCATCCAGAACCAGGCAAAGGCGTACATCTTTTCTACGAACAGGTTGATGGACAGAGCACATTGGACAGAGAACCGCTGGATGTTCTGGAGTTGCCGGATCTCAAAGTCACACATGGCTACACGGGGAAAATGCTCCCAGTCTTCCCAATGCCCCTTACTGTTCAAGATGCTAATGATCTCAAATCCATAGTTCCAGAAGTTCCACCCCAGGAATCGTGACATCAGGAAGAACTGCCCAATGCAGTTGCAGACATTGAGGAACTTGCAGAAGAGATACAAGCCTGTGAGAAACGTGCCATGACGCTTGCCCAGCACGAAACACAATATACCCGAGACCTTCTCACGCATGCGTATGAGGATATTATACTTGTAGACCCTGTAAGTGACCAACCAACGATCAATGAAGTGACCAATATTCTCAATCTTCTCAGCACGATCTTTTGGAGGTGACAGCATAGCTTCATCAGCCATTCGGACAATTTTCTGAACATTGATCCCCGAATATGTCTTGACTTCTTTCCAGATGATGTTGGGTACCTTGAAGAGGACGGCCTGGATGAGGAACATGACAGCCACCCAACGGTAGAAGCTGATGTCCCTGTCGAATCGATCCTCCACCTTGTAGGGGATGGGGTCGTCTAGGGGGACATAGTACATGTGTGAGACCCAGCAGTACCCCTCCGTGTAACTATGGTGGGATCCGGCAAACTGGGCGGGGGTCCAACAGTGGATGGGGTCCCCCACGTACTGCTTAGCCCCTACTGCCACCCCCAGAGCGGCGAATAACGCCACCGAGACGATGTGATGAAGTTGGTCGATGCCATCGTCGTCCCAGGAACCACGAGATACGGCGATCTTGTTGGCTACTTCCAATAAGCTTCCTAACCTGAAATATACAATACATTCTTTGGTTATAGTTCCTTAAATATAGTGAGTGAGTGAGTGAGTTGGGTTTAACGCCGCTTTTAACAGTATTCCAGTTATATCGCGGCGTGTCAGCTTAATGTGGGAGGAAAGCCCGAAGTGATGCAGGTCTCATATATTGGAATATTGCTAAACGCGGCGTAAAACCATACTCACTCACTCATGATATATGGGTTTTATTTATCAATATCTTAGGTTTAAGCTGGATTTAAAAAGATAACCAAGGGAGGTTACTCTTAAATAAGCCTGAGGAATGGGTACATGTCACAAACAAACAGATGGTCTTCCATTTACAGTACTATCCAAACTAAGCGGTCATTGTGACAAACTCATTCTCGTCTGACGACTAATAATTGTTTGATTTTCGAGTTTAAGACTTCAGCCATGGCATGTTATATTTAATTATTCGAGTTTATATGATTCAATTATATCGGTAGAATATATATGTTCATACTTACATGGTTGTAACAATAGAGGGTCACGTGTTCAGGGTTGAATATGTGTTTGAACTTAACCTGCAAGAGAAAGAATCAAATATTAGTTATCAAGCAACGGCAAACAACATGTAATCTTTATATATAGATAGATATAGATAAATGTGATAACTCGGCTATGCTAGACGAACCTTGTGTTGACATTGAACTGGCCTCGCCGTTATAACTGCGTGGTAATGCTTACTGATACAATGTATAATCACAAGAGATAATATTAACAATGCGTGGGCTGTGAACCCAATACCGAAAGTTTTTTTTAACCTAACGATGTTGGATCAAAGTCCTTGTTACACAGATGAATAGTCGACAGGGCGATCCTAATGCTCCGCTTAATGTGTATACATTGCAGTAACCACGTGTTTGCATCACCCCCATTTAACGCGAACCTCTGATAAGGAATCCAAATAGAAAAGAAAAAAACGGTACAAGTTTTTGAAAACAAGAGTACAACCCAACCCCACCCCACACACTCCCACCCACCTCGGAGCCTATACTCAATCCCTTCTCAGTTCCAGCAGCCTATCCTCCCCCTTAAGCCATAGGAGTTCCTTTATACTAGTTGGTTCCCTTGTAGAAACTATATTTAACCTTATACATAACTTTATTTCAGGGACATGTTAGTTCACATTCATTATAGGGATTCAACAACACATACATTGTCTACCCAGTTGGGCTTAGAGTTGTGGACGTGTTAATAATACTACATATTATCATTATGATGCTTTTTTTCCATGTACTTGCTTAAAAAACCCTGGTCATGTACAATGAGTGCTACCAAAACATGATGTACTTTTACCAGGAACAATAAAACAAAACAAAAAAACAACAACAATGTTTGGATAAAAATAGTTTCTGTATCTAAAGAAAAAAAATATAAAGAAAAAAAATGATGACATGTTTTATGTCACTTTAGAACATATATCTCTCAGCGTTCGTGTTACTGTCGTTCATCTGGATTTGCGTTCATTCTCAAGGCAAAAACCCTGACAGACTCATTCTTGAGTAAAAATAGACCGGTATAGTCGGTCGACAAACAAGCCTGGTTATACAGTGCCGTCTTTGTGTGTGTATGTGGGGAGGGGCGATCAACGTAAGAATGTGAAATACCGTCCCGTTGTTGAAATGCATTATATGTACTGCGCAGGTTTGACATGCAAAAGGCAATAGGTGTCAAAATGATCACAAACAAACAAAGCAACATCAAGCGAAAAATATATGAGTTGAACATCGTGTGGTCTGTCGACTCCCAATTTGAACCAGGATCATCTGTGTGGTGTTTGCTCCAAAGTAAAAGGAAAACTCGTGGGTTTACGTATCAGGGCGTGTTTCATGAGCTCATAACTAAAGCCTCCTATGTGTTTAAAGATTTAAATTATGGTGTTTCATGAGGTCGAAAAATGATTCTATATATGCTTTCTAAAGATTCAAATAATTATGTTTTAAGTCACACAAATGTTAAATTTAAATTCATGTTCTGCCCAGCAGTGTTTTTGCCCTTTACGTGATGAAGAGTCTTGTTACTTTCATTCCCAGCGGTTTAAGGCAAAGAAAATGAGGTTTGACTTTCTCTTTGACAGCAATACTGATCATGACATTCAAATATGATATGATTTCCGAAAAGGCGAAACATAGCATTTCATACACGTTAGTCAGTCGGACAGACATCGGCCAAGAAACGGGTTTATGGCTGACTGAGCACATATCTGGAGTGAATTGATCCGTTGTTCTTGGTAATCACTCAACCTGTCATAAACTTCCTCCCTTACACGCATGGCTGGCCCTCGCCTATGACGACACGACCCGACGCCGCCAGAACAGGTTCACCTATGTGAACTAGACGGTGGGCACGGTGTTTGTCGAGCTGTTTCGAGGGAGTGAGTTTACGCCACTTTTATACATATTTCCGGTATATCATGGTGTGTCAGTTTAATGTTGGTGGAAAGTCCAACTCACGCAGGTCGTGGACGTTTAACACTTTGGTGAAACACACAAGCACGGGAATGATGCTGACGAACCAAGGATCATAATCAGGGTGAACCTGAGATTAGAACCCGTAACTTATAGGCACCCAACTGGGCCCCTTTACACGTTTAATACCCGGGCTGCTATGTGTCTTTAAAGTGGTAAACGTCTAAGACATGCTTCACTTCCGGTTTTCTTCCAACATGAAGCTGACACGCCGTGATGTAACTGAAATACGGTTCAAGTGACGTTAAGCCGACTCAGAAACTACAAAGGCGTTCAAAGTGAGTGGCTTCATGATACATGATAAAGTAATCACAAAATTAGGTCCATACATTTGTGTGTCCCAATTAGTTGTGTTTTATGAGTCATGCAATTCATATCCTAACGAAGCGAGGATCGCATATCTGTGAAAACATGTTTCAATTAACTCAATAATTCATTCAATATATAAGTACTGAAATAAATATGAGAAGTGATCAGGAACACTCCATATAGTGGCCACATTCACTGATATCTTCAAGATGTCATTCCCTGTTAAATGTACCCAAACACAACGTCTTCTCGGAAAATATATGCAGAAAGCACCATAGAAAGCTTTGTCGCCCATGCATTACTGTGTAAGGTAAGGAATTGATTGGAAATTGTAACTCTGTAACGTAGGTCAAAATGAAAAGACGATATATGACAGAAGCGCACAATGACAAGTAATTAATTCACTCCGATAAATGGCTAATGCTATCGATTAGTCAGATTTCAAGGTTAAGGAATTTCTATAGGTAACCGGTGGTGTGAAAATGCGGTAGACGTAGTGGGCGTGAAAAAAACGTTTGTTTGTTGTTTAACGCCGCACTCAGCAGTATTCCTGTTTTTGAATATAACTTGTTGCATTCGTGAATGAATTGTGCACATATCAACTTGGTGTCGTCGCAATATGGCTGAAATAATGCCGATGCGTGTTAATGTTTTACTCACTCACTCACTCAGCAGTATTCCAGTCATATGAAAACGGTCTGTAAATAATCGGGGCTGGACCAGACAATCCAGTGATTGACATCATGAGCATCGACATACGCAATTGGGATGCGATCACGACAGCCTGACCGCCCTTAGAGTGAGTGAGTGAGTATGGTTTTACGCCGCTTTTAGCAATATTCCAGCAATATCACGGCGGGGGACACCAGAAATGGGCTTCAGACATTGTACCTATGTCGGGAATCGAACCTGGATCTTCGGCGTGTCGAGCGAACGCTTTAACCACTAGGCTACCCGACCGCCCCCTGACCGCCCTTAGACAAGCATGAAGACCCGGATCCCATCATATAAGAAGGACGCTTAGGGATAGATTCAGGTCTTCATCAAACTGTTATATGACAATCGGAAAAGACGATGTAGGTAACCAAATTATGCAAAATTAGTTGAAAGCTGCAGTTGTCGCCCAGGTTTGTTTTCAAGGCTAGTGCTAATCATAGACGTTTATATATGGAATGGACACGCGCTATTACGTCGGGGCGTTGCGTCAATGGTGTCACGACATGTTCAGTAACGAACCGCTCCCTATGTGATTCCTGGTTGCAATAGGTTCCCCACAACCTACGCACGTCGTACGGGGTACCTTATTTTTCAAAATTCAAGATCCGCGTCTGAACAACGTGCTTGCTCACACAATGGGTCGCATATTTGGGACAGTGAAGACGGTACAAAGTCATGTTATCTGGAGGTGGAGGTTAATATATAAGGCTGTAAATCTATCGGTCGACAACCGTGTTTGTGCTTGTCGATCGCCTAGGTTAGATCATGGAGATAACGCGGCTAATAAGCCGACATTCTTCAGTCCCACGCCCCTGTGGGTCGTCATAGCTAGGAGCAGAGCCTCACGCAAAACAAACATGGCCGAAAAGGTGCAAAGCCCGTCGTGACCCACATTGGATTGTATATCAAACTTTCTTTCTAAGAGTGCAGAAATAAAGGAAGGGCGTTTTTAATGTACTTTGGTGAAAGAGTAGAACTTCAAATGGCGTACGGGTGTTATGATAATGAACTAGAGTCACGAGAACGCTCACATGACAACGGTACTCCGGACATCTGTTATAGCAGGGGGGTTAGTCTTTATACTAACTGTTGGTTGATTTCTTCACCAGTTTTAAGTCTGGATTCTTGATTTCAATCGACATAATAATAAATGGTATAGAGTGACAATAAATCAAGTAAAAAAACGTTAATTGTGTTGTTGTTTTGGGTTTTTTGTCTGACGCCGCACTCGGCAATATCCCAGCTATATTGCTCCGGTCTGATTCGAATCTCGACCAGACAAACCAGTGATTGATTTTGAAAACATCCACTGTGCCGTCGGAAAACAACGAATTGATTCAACCAATACCTGAATCATGGATACAACAACGCCGACAAGAAGTTAAGTCGCCTCCTGTGACAAGCATAGGTTCATGGGGATAAACATATAGTCCCCGAAATGAAGTTATACATTAAGTTATAAGAAAATAATTCTATAAAGGAACAATCAAGAATTATAAAGGAACTCTCAAGAATCCGAGCTACAGTTGTCAGAGCTGGAAATAGGATGAGGATAGGCTGCTAGATCTGTAAGTGTCTGATCCAGATGAGTATATACAGGCTGGAGTGACAAACCTGGAATATTGCGATTGGAGTGCGGCGTCAAACAACATTCAGTCAATCAGTCACTGGTTTACGGTGGGTGTCCCTAGCAAATCACCCTGAAGAAAACAACTATTCAAACTATAGAGTATTGCGGCCACCCAATACCCCTCGTGGAGTAGATAGATGGCGTCTCACCTTCCCCAGTCAGCCTCCAGCACGTGGTGCAACCAGGCAGTGACCTCTCATCTCTGCACTCCGAGACTACCTGTACTGTATATCCAAGACACTTGTCTGTCCGGTGTTTAATGAGCCGCGCCCCGGTCTACTTCCTGCCACATGGATCCATCATACTGAGATTTCTTTTAAAATGTAACCTTAGCTGCCGTTACCCCCGAGCACGAATTAAGGGGACAATCAGGTGTAGATGTAGAAATGAGACCAAGTGCAGAACACGTGGTGTCTCATCAGTGTCACATACCTTACAACATACCCATGAGACAGTAAACACTTTTACGCGCGAAGATTATCTCAAGATTAACCTAGGATTATCTTATTGACTTATTCATTACACAATAGTAGACAGGTAAGCAGACTAAACAAGGCCGATCAACAAAGTCAGGTGAGAATGACGATGTTCAACAACGGAGAGAGAACTCGCCCTGGGGGCAGTCAGGGGGCCGAGGTGCAAGATACACTTCTCTGTCATAGACAATTCCTTCTGTATTTCATTGTCTCTTGCTACAGCCACGCCTGTCTCGTCGGGGTGTTCGTCTAACAAGCGGAAATTATGTAAACCCTTTCACCAACACAACAATCCGGCGTCCTATTGTGTGGGACTTGTACAGACAGGGCCAATTCACACAAACAAGCCGAGGCGGTCCTTCCCTGACACTTGCACCGCACCTTCATTCACCTGTCGGCCGGAAAAGAAGTGGGCCTCTAATGAACCTGACCCAGCAGATACCTTTTGCCATCAAAGAAACGTGTTTACTTGTCCAGAATGTCTAGCTGGGGTTGAATGTGAGCAGTACAGATAGTGAAATGTGCCCCGACCTGTTACCGTTCTCCTGTTGAAGATGTTAAAGAATCCCTCTTATGGCCCCTGCGGGTTATTGCAGTGACAATATTCGGCCGTGTATCTGTCCTTATCTATCCAGTATCTTGACTAATTAGTGAGTGAGTATGGTTTTACGCCGCTTTTAGCAATATTCCAGCAATATTACGGCGGGGGACACCAGAAATGGGCTTCACACATTGTACGCATGTCGGGAATCGAACCCGGGTCTTCGGCGTGACGAGGTAATGCTTTAGCCACTAGGCTACCCGATCGCCCCTCTTGGCTAATTAAATTGATTAAAATTAAATGAATAGTTGTCAAATTAACTAACATCTAGAATCAAAATCAAGGAAGACAATGGTCTCCGTGAAGGAGACGATCCTTTAAACTTTATTGCTCAAATATCTGACGTCAAGATAAGCATTTGCTGGAAGCGCTAGTTAAATTTCCAACTCACGTCTCTGTTAACTCCATTCGTTTTCTATTATGACGTTTCATTTCATTAAATAGTTTCGGTAAATAGTTTGGTCAACATTTGCATCCGATATTTGCTTATATTCTCTTAATTAAACATTCACATACTTAAGGCTTGTCGACTGTATAGACACCTAACCGTATATCATGACATAATATGTAGGATCAAGTTTCCTGATAGTCTTATTATAATTATAGTTCTGAACTTTATTCCGTACAAACAATAATGTATTGTAATGTACACTACGTCAAACATTCAATGTATCTTGTATATGTGGCCAGATGCCAAATATGGCCTGAGTCAAAATAAAGTCTGCCTGTCTCTGTCCCTGATTATAATCACCTGCCCATTCACATAGTCCATGTATTGATCGCTTGTCAGAAGTAATTAATTACACTTCATAAAATAGTTCGTATATAATTTAGTACCACCAAGTTGTACTGAAATGTGACAACTTCTTACTTTAGTTCTTTCAAATTAAACTATGGCATTTATGAATTAAAATAAATAGTTTCCAAATATGCGTTCCACGCAGTCTACATTTAATATGGGAGATACTAGGATTATATACTAGCATTCAAATACTACAACTGTATATCCAAGTTAACACGTTTTATATTTCATAATAGAAATGGAGGTATAATACACTGGATAATCGAGGATGATATCAATTAGGATGCAGATATAATATACTGGATAATCGAAAAGGATATCAATTAGGATGCAGATATGATATACTGGATAATCGGGGATGATATCAATTAGGATGCAGATATAACACTCTGGATAATCGAGGCTGATATCAATTAGGATGCAGATATAACACAATGGATAATCGAGGATGATATCAATTAGGATGCAGATATAACACAATGGATAATCGAGGATGATATCAATTAGGATGCAGATATAATACACTGGATAATCGAGGATGATATCAATTAGGATCCAGATATAACACAATGGATAATCGAGAATGATATCAGTTAGGATGCAGATATAACATACTGGATAATCGAGGATGATATCAATTAGGATTCAGATATAACACTGGATAATCGAGGATGATATCAGTTAGGATGCAGATATAAGACACTGGATAATCGAGCATGATATCAATTAGGATGCAGATATAACACAATGGATAATCGAGGATGATATCAGTTAGGATTCAGATAGAACACTCTGGATAATCGAGGCTGATATCAATTAGGATGAAGATATAATATACTGGATAATCGAGGATGATATCAATTAGAATGCAGATATAACACAATGGATAATCGAGGATGGTATCAATTAGGATGCAGATATAATACACTTGATTATCGAGGATGATATCAATTAGGATGCAGATATAACACTGGATAATCGAGGATGATATCAATTAGGATGCAGATATAACACAATGGATAATCGAGGATGATATCAATTAGGATGCAGATATAACACAATGGATAATCGAGGATGATATCAATAAGGATGCAGATATAACACAATGGATAATCGAGGATGATATCAATTAGGATGCAGATATAATATACTAGATAATCGAGGATGATATCAATTAGGATGCAGATATAACACAATTGATAATCGAGGATGATATCAATTAGGATGCAGATATAACACTCTGGATAATCGAGCCTGATATCAATTAGGATGCAGATACAATACACTTGATAATCGAGGCTGATATCAATTAGGATGCAGATATAACACAATGGATAATCGAGGATGATATCAATTAGGATGCAGATATAACACACTCGATAATCGAGGATGATATCAATTAGGATGCAGATACAATACACTGGATAATCGAGGATGATATCAATTAGGATGCAGATATAACAAACTGGATAATCGAAGATGATATCAATTAGGATGCATATATAACACTCTGGATAATCGAGGATGATATCAATTAGGATGCAGATATAACACTCTGGATAATCGAAGATGATATCAATTAGGATGCAGATATAACACACTGGATAATCGAGGATGATATCAGTTAGGATTCAGATATAACACTCTGGATAATCGAAGATGATATCAATTAGGATACAGATATAACACACTGGATAATCGAGGATGATATCAGTTAGGATGCAGATTTAACACTCTGGATAATCGAGGAGGGTGAGAGAGTGCCTGCCTCGACAATCAGAAAAAACGGAGTCCTAGCTCTTGACAGACGTTTTCGAACTTTTTAAAACAAACGCGATTCATCAAGATGAAAATATTCACAGCACATATCAATCACTGGATTCATAGTGTGAGTAAGCCTTCAAAAGCCGCTGACACAACATGTTGGCTATAATGTCTCTCCTTGCGTGGTATATACAGCCCTTACTGACGATATAACACTTTGGGAGCAATAGTATGTTCTCTGCACATAAATAGATATGAAAGGAGATCATACAATGACAGCGACAAACGTAGACAAATCTCCGTTGAAGTTATTTAATATTTGCTCTCATCTTATACAATCATTGAAGTACACCTACCATGTGGGCAGATCGTCTTTTCCCCCATGATCTACCTGTGTGAGAATGTAACTCTCAAAGTAGGTCATGCGACCATGATGTATCCAGCGTTTCACCTGGGAAAACTTACCTCGGGGAGACAGGTAGTCAAGCAGAAAGTTCACGTTTCAAAGTCTCACGACATTCTGATGTTGAATCAAACCAGTATGTTTAACTTTTCCAAGATGTAAGTCCAAGTTCGGATAACCACAATCGCTTAAAAAGTTGTTTCGGTTGATACTTCTCTTGACATTTCGTCACTTTCAACGGTGTGATTGTCCCTCGCGTTGGTGTACATGACCCCCGACCCCTGAACTCTTGTGACCATCAAGGAATGTGAGACCACGATTCTGATTGGCTAGGGGAAGGCTATTTGTGTTGGGAGGGTGTATCTCAATACAAACGGGCCGGTTGAGTCAATACATGGTAAAACGTGAATTTAGTATACATTTAACATGGGCGTGGCTTGCACAATATGTGTATTATAATAATGAAATTATTTTATACAAAACAGTATTGTCTACATTTAAAAACTGGTCGACATTCCACTGTGGCGTAGGTGTGTGGGTGTATGCATCGGCCTCGTTGATCACGAAGAAGTGGGTGGGAGGGAGTGTGACAGAACAACAGAATTTCAATCTCGCGACAAAATAAAACACATACTGCTGTCGGGAAACAGAACTTAAGGTTCAAAGTTCAACATTTATATTCTTATATGAAGGGTTGGATATTAATATAAGATATATCCGTAGATGCAGGGGGTACAGAGAAAATGCATATACACTCCCTGGTTGAGATGTCAAGGAAAGCCATTGGCAGATATTCTTTGCTTAAGTGCGACGGTTAAACGTTGTACCCCTGCACTTCTCACTTCTTTTGAGAAAACAGAAAAGTAACTTTACGTTCAATGTCATCAAAATAACGTTCAAGTATATATACCCCCTACTTTGTTATGGGTTGACGAGAAACATTAACTAAAACCAAGTCCACATTACCCAAAGAAATGATTCGACAACGTGCTGCACGTGTGTTGGGGAATCAAATAGAATCATTTGAATGTATGATATATTACGGGCGCTTCACTGAATATGAGACTACTTTACAGTGACGTAACACAACGCGTAAAATGCCGTGACACTTCCACATTTTAATATACTTTCATACATGTAATCCTTCATGACATTGCTAATGATATCGACCACTGGTGTACCTGATATGGAATCGAATATTTACAGCCCCCATGATATACTAGAAGTAAGAATATTTCTGCCTGCAGCCAACGGTAACATTCACTCACTCACCCATATGTTATTATATCAATTATACAAATGCGATTTTCATGACAAAAAACTGCTTTGGTAATGCGGTGTCATTATAAAGGTCTGTAAACTCAAGAATGTACTTTGATGATGATGACGGTGGAGATTTGACGAGCTCTTCCTGTGAAACCGATTTCGCACTTGGGAATTCACAATCCTTGGCAGCGTTTTAGAGTTTTGATCATGTTGATTGTGTTCCGAAATAACAAAGTGAAAGCTACTTCAAAATTCCCTAATGCTATGACGTAACAGCGACAATTATAATTAGGGGAAACATTTGTTTATATTAATTTTATTGTTTAAAAACGCCCTTTTCTAGTAAATAAATAAACATTTAAGCACACAATTGTTTATTTATATTTGACAACGTGTTGATCTAAGTAAAGTGAATCTGAAAGTAAAGAGTACTCGATGTAAGAGAATTCTTATTCCTTTTCTTTTGTCTTTTATATTACCTAGAGACAAAGATCTTCATGTTGCCGTGTCGGATGATTACTGGAATGAGGCCCCATGAAAAGTCTCACTGCGAGATCACAGGTACGCGCCGGACGTTGAGTCGGTTCCTTCCCGAAACACAAACGCCCCTTTTACAAACAGATGAGTGTGTTGCGTAATGCATACATTGACCCCTCTAATAATAACGAGTCTTCCCGTCTTCCCTCAACATAAACTGACCAATAGTATATGGTTAGTGTTATATAATACATTGTAAACTTGACTACTCCATGTTTCTTAGTTTTGAATAGACATTAATCGTTTTTAAAACTGAAATTATATCGAATTCACCAAGCTTTTCGGTTATTTAAACTCCTTTAGTTTTAAAGTTCCACTAACGCTACATTTCTCGTTTTGTTGATAAATAAATCCTCATGAAACAGATATTATGTTTTTTGCTTCTGCCTGGAATTACACCGGATAGTCAATTGTTATCTATCTATATTTTAACACGTGAACATGTTTACATTTTAAATTTGACAGGTCCAAATTGTTTTAATTATAATTGATCCTTAATGTCAGCTTGTAATATGTGTTTGGCGTCGACTCGTTTTCTGACACAGGAACTCGTTATCAGTCAGTAAATAAAAATATATACCCCCTATGGGAAAGTACATATAGGGGATATATATGTTTAGTTACTGTGATCAAGGTTCATTGACGTGACGAGCAAAGAGATGTCAGAACCTGCGTAGATGATACAACCTACAAGTCAACTTTAGAGCAGCCCCGCCACCAAGGAAGAGGGTCTGCAGAGACACTGAAGATCAATTCGCAAGGTCAACTTTAGAGCAGCCCCGCAAACTAGGGAGGAGAGGGTCTGCAGAGAGACTGAAGATCAATTCACCGGGTCAACTTTAGAGCAGCCCCGTCACCAAGGAAGAGGGTCTGCAGAGAGACTGAAGATCAGCTGACAAGGTCAACTTTAGAGCAGCCCCGCCACCAAGGAAGAGGGTCTGCAGAGACACTGGAGATCAATTCACAAGGTCAACTTTAGAGCATCCCCGCCACCAAGGAAGAGGGTCTGCAGAGTGACTGAAGATTGGCCGACAAGGTCAACTTTAGAGCAGCCCCGCCACCAAGGAAGAGGGTCTGCAGAGAGACTGAAGATCAGCTGACAAGGTCAACTTTAGAGCAGCCCCGCCACCAAGGAAGAGGGTCTGCAGAGAGACTGAAGATCAATTCGCAAGGTCAACTTTAGAGCAGCCCCGCAAACTAGGGAGAGGGTCTGCAGAGAGACTGAAGATCAATTCACCGGGTCAACTTTAGAGCAGCCCCGCCACCAAGGAAGAGGGTCTGCAGAGAGACTGAAGATCAATTCACAAGGTCAACTTTTAGAGCAGCCCCGCCACCAAGGAAGAGGGTCTGCAGAGAGACTGAAGATCAGCTGACAAGGTCAACTTTAGAGCAGCCCCGTCACCAAGGAAGAGGGTCTGCAGAGAGACTGAAGATCAATTCACAAGGTCAACTTTTAGAGCAGCCCCGCCACCAAGGAAGAGGGTCTGCAGAGAGACTGAAGATCAGCTGACAAGGTCAACTTTAGAGCAGCCCCGTCACCAAGGAAGAGGGTCTGCAGAGAGACTGAAGATCAGCTGACAAGGTCAACTTTAGAGCAGCCCCGTCACCAAGGAAGAGGGTCTGCAGAGAGACTGAAGATCAGCTGACAAGGTCAACTTTAGAGCAGCCCCGTCACCAAGGAAGAGGGTCTGCAGAGAGACTGAAGATCAGCTGACAAGGTCAACTTTAGAGCAGCCCCGTCACCAAGGCAGAGGGTCTGCAGAGAGACTGAAGATCAATTCACAAGGTCAACTTTAGAGCAGCCCCGCAAACTAGGGAGAGGGTCTGCAGAGAGACTGAAGATCAATTCACCGGGTCAACTTTAGTGCAGCCCCGCCACCAAGGAAGAGGGTCTGCAGAGAGACTGAAGATCACTTCACAAGGTCAACTTTTAGAGCAGCCCCGCCACCAAGGAAGAGGGTCTGCAGAGAGACTGAAGATCAATTCGCAAGGTCAACTTTAGAGCAGCCCCGCAAACTAGGGAGAGGGTCTGCAGAGAGACTGAAGATCAATTCACCGGGTCAACTTTAGAGCAGCCCCGTCACCAAGGAAGAGGGTCTGCAGAGAGACTGAAGATCAGCTGACAAGGTCAACTTTAGAGCAGCCCCGCCACCAAGGAAGAGGGTCTGCAGAGACACTGGAGATCAATTCACAAGGTCAACTTTAGAGCATCCCCGCCACCAAGGAAGAGGGTCTGCAGAGTGACTGAAGATTGGCCGACAAGGTCAACTTTAGAGCAGCCCCGCCTCCAAGGAAGAGGGTCTGCAGAGAGACTGAAGATCAATTCACAAGGTCAACTTTAGAGCAGCCCCGCCACCAAGGAAGAGGGTCTGCAGAGAGACTGAAGATCACTTCACAAGGTCAACTTTTAGAGCAGCCCTGCCACCAAGGAAGAGAGTCTACAGAGAGACTGAAGATCAATTCACAAGGTCAACTTTAGAGCAGCCCCACCACCAAGGAAGAGGGTCTGCAGAGAGACTGAAGATCGGCTGACAAGGTCAACTTTTAGAGCAGCCCCACCACCAAGGAAGAGGGTCTGCAGAGACACTGGAGATCAATTCACATGGTCAACTTTAGAGCAGTCCCGCCACCAAGGAAGAGGGTCTGCAGAGAGACTGAAGATCACTTCACAAGGTCAACTTTTAGAGCAGCCCCGCCACCAAGGAAGAGGGTCTGCAGAGAGACTGAAGATCAATTCACAAGGTCAACTTTAGAGCAGCCCTGCCACCAAGGAAGAGGGTCTGCAGAGAGACTGAAGATCAATTCACAAGGTCAACTTTAGAGCAGCCCCACCACCAAGGAAGAGGGTCTGCAGAGAGACTGAAGATCGGCTGACAAGGTCAACTTTTAGAGCAGCTCGCCACCAAGAAAGAGGGTCTGCAGAGACACTGGAGATCAATTCACAAGGTCAACTTTAGAGCAGCCCCGCCACCAAGGAAGAGGGTCTGCAGAGAGACTGAAGATCAGCTGACAAGGTCAACTTTAGAGCAGCTCGCCACCAAGGAAGAGGGTCTGCAGAGACACTGGAGATCAATTCACAAGGTCAACTTTAGAGCAGCTCGCCACCAAGGAAGAGGGTCTGCAGAGAGACTGAAGATCAATTCACAAGGTCAACTTTAGAGCAGCCCCACCACCAAGGAAGAGGGTCTGCAGAGACACTGGAGATCAATTCACAAGGTCAACTTTAGAGCAGCCCTGCCACCAAGGAAGAGGGTCTGCAGAGAGACTGAAGATCAGCTGACAAGGTCAACTTTAGAGAAGCCCCGCCACCAAGGAAGAGGGTCTGCAGAGAGACTGAAGATCAATTCACAAGGTCAACTTTAGAGCAGCTCGCCACCAAGAAAGAAAGTCTGCAGAGAGAATGAAGATCAATTCACAATGTCAACTTTTAGAGCAGCCCTGCCACCAAGGAAGAGGGTCTGCAGAGAGACTGAAGATCAATTCACAAGGTCAACTTTAGAGCAGCTCGCCACCAAGAAAGAGGGTCTGCAGAGAGAATGAAGATCAATTCACAATGTCAACTTTTAGAGCAGTCCTGCCACCAAGGAAGAGGGTCTGCAGAGAGACTGAAGATCAATTCACAAGGTCAGCTTTAGAGCATACCCGCCACCAAGGAAGAGGGTCTGCAGAGTGACTGAAGATCGGCCGACAAGGTCAACTTTAGAGCAGCCCCGCCTCCAAGGAAGAGGGTCTGCAGAGAGACTGAAGATCAATTCCCAAGGTCAACTTTAGAGCAGCCCCGCCGCCAAGGAAGAGGGTCTGCAGAGACTGAAGATCAGCTGATAATACTGAAAGCCCAACTTACCATAGCACAGGACATGCCGATGTAGTATTTAAATGCAGTTGGATATTTGCTAAAATTAGGATGTGAAATTATGTGAACAGAATTACATCTCATGATCTGACATGTGCTGGCTACTTATGTAAATGATATACATACGAGGGGTTCTCAATAAGTTTTGTAACTTGGGCATTTGTGTTTACACAATGTCAACTTGTGGCAGGTGTGACACTAGTCATAACATCAGGTTGACACGTGTCATAACAAGTTCCAGACACCATAATAAGTTAGATGTGATGGCTTCATTCACCTAAGGGTGGTCACAATCATGGATTCTCTTAAACATGAACAACGCACTGTAATAAAGTTCCTTACCAAGGTGGGATGCAAAGCGAAAGAAATCCATGATGGCATGTGTAAAGTGATGGGTATTCCACAGTTTGCCGTTGGTCTCTACAGTTTAAAAGGGGAAGGGAGTCCATAGACGATGACCCAAGGTCAGGCAGGCCTTCAGATGCCACCCAATTGGAAACCATTGCTGCTATAGAAAGAAGAATTTTGTCTGACGACGAGTGAAAGTATCTGAACTTTCTAGGGAATTCCAAATATCGACTATTGTTGGTGTTATATTGAAGTTGAAAAACTTATTGTACGCCCCTCGTATATGTGCTATAATAAATGTGCTCAATACATTTTGTTTTCAATGTATGCATCATCACGTATATAAGTATATGTTATGTGCCTGGTGTGAAATGTGAAGGTAAATGCTTTTACAGAACTAATAACTAGCTTAGTATAATTTATCTGTCTCTTTCCTTATTCTAATAGAATTTTATGCAAGACTATCATCCATTTCCATAAGGTTAAAGGCAGGGGATTAGTGGTGTACTGCGTTTTTGGAGGGCACCTTGAGTGACTAGAATCAACCCTGTACTGTACAGATCATTGTACTTATTTAAGTTTGAAATACTCTTTACCATCAAAATTAGAAGAACAAGGGGCAACTATAGTATTTACATATTCTATACATATTACACTATTCCTTTATGGTTTGTTTTAGCTGAACTTCTTGCATCTGCATCAATGTCACCAGAGGGCCACATGCACCAACTGTAGTACTGGGCAGTAACATATGTCCTCCTGCAGATCTACGAACACGCGTATAGTTCTTTAAAGTTATTACTTATAATGTCAAGTGTTGAATCCAGTTTTATAAGTATAGTTTCTTCTTCATGTAAAAACAACCTTGATTTGTTAATTATGAACATTTGTTTTAATTATTCATCCATGTCTATTGTACTTTTGATATTTTTGTACATCATTGACTTGATAAATGTTTCATGGTAAAATAGTTATACTTTGTAATATGTCTTGCCTGCTTTAGAAAGCATAAATAAGGCCATTGTGTTACGCTCAATAAATGTAAATATAAATAGTTCCAAGTTGACCAATATGTTTTTGTTAATATGCAGAACATTTAATTGTATCAAAAGTAGTTTAACATAACCATTACAATATTTTAAATACATACAATTATTTTCTGGACACACACATACATGTCGTCTGCTACAGAAGTGCTTGTGGTCATTAATCAGCTGTGACACACCAGGGAAGCTGGCAAGAGGACCCCTGCTGGTCGCGGGAGTTAGGGGGGATTAGAGTGCAGTTAGCTGTTCCTCACTTTGCGAGCGAGTATGGTTTTACGCCGCTTTTAGCAATATTCCAGCAATATCACGGCGGGGGACACCAGAAATGGGCTTCACACATTGTACCCATGTCGGGAATCGAACCTGGGTCTTCTGGGTGACGAGCGAACGCTTTAACCACTAGGCTTCCCGACCGCCCCCGTTCCTCACTTTGAGGTTTTCAGAGACCCTTGTACCACAAAGTGAGATGTACAAGTTGTTAATTATATACCTGATGTCCACGGTTACTATATTCACATAAGCGAAAGATAAGTTTAAACAGATTTCATGAATACTGGTACCTATTGACACCATACATAACAGATCTCGACTATTGTTGTACGAAATCGGATGAACCGAAAACACTCGTTAAATCATGAACAATATATCGCAAGTGAAGCTTTTGCTGTGTGCATCTCTGTGAATATGACTGTGTGCAGTGTCGTATAGCTTTGCCCAGACAATCTGGCATGTGGTGCTTTTTGTTACAATTTTTGTTTTGCTAAAAGTATTTGATTTAGATGGAAATATGAAACTATACTAGTGAGGAAGAAGTACTCTCTATATTAGCTTCATCAGTCATGTGCCTGTCAGATCAGCTGTTTGAGGCGGATGTTGTGAGTTGAAACCTCTGATTAACCAATCAGAAATCTCTATTTACAAGTTATGAATAACTCCTTATATACACCAATGATAGAATGAAAAACAGATATCAGCAGACATGATACACATTTATTACGAAACCACAGTAGTGCCTGAATACACAAGACACAGACATGACAGTGTACAATAAATATATCATGGTAGGCCTTGGATACACAAGACACCGACATGGTGTACAATAATTATATCACAGAAGTGCCTGTATACACAAGACACAGACATGACAGTGTACAGTACACATCTGGAAGGATATAGTAACATTTAATACTGTGTGGGGTAAGGTGACTTTAGAATGCTGTTGGCTACCTGGGTCCACATGCACAAAGCCATCTTAGTACTATGCCTTTAATGTCCACAGGTGTTCCAGACCACAATGACACTCCCTGCCCCGTTGTGAAAATTAAATCTGCCAACCAAAAAAATACATATCTTGATTTTATTCAATTTAGACCCCAATCAATTTTAATTCCAAGACCCATTCTAGTGCCAAGATTGCTTTGTGTAGGATGACCTTGATGTTCAGGACTTCCATATCTATGGTGGGATTTTACAAAAAACTTTCCTTCTCAATATTATCTTTGTTCAATATACTGTGGAATATCTCTATTTCATAGTTTATATTCCAAACCTATTTTCATTTTTCATTTGGAAACAGATAAAAACTTGTTAAAACAGAAACAATAACAAAGTCTATCACAGCTGCTCTTATGACATAACAGGACCTTAAGGAAATACTTCTGACGGAGTGCTGACTATCATAAAGTCTACATCCAATATTTAAAATGGAGCACATCTATCAAACAGATGTTTTTTATCAAAGTATAGCTGAAATAATTTCAGTTGGTCCTGTTGTCATAATTGTTGGATATTGTTGGTTTTTTTATAAAAAGGTATCAAGGGTCTATATTCACACAGATATCCTTCCTTCAAACAAAATCATGTACGTATTATTCACATAAAGTTAAACCTTTTTTAAAAAATCTCAGAAAGTCATTAAGTACTCTGTTTACAATTTCTATCCGGAAATTAAACAGTTATAAAAAAATCCTAAGATCAAAGACATCATACATCAATGGACCTATGAGTGCATGATTCTTTTAATCTGAGAGCTAATTTTGACAAACTCTAGGCTTTTATCAAGCCTTGATCAAATTTATATACAGCTGACACATGATATATACAAAAATAAACATCTGTTGTTGCCTATGAAAAGAACAGAAAACTCGTAATAACTAAAATTTATCATTTTACTGCCCCCAAAATTCATTATCAAGAATGAAATATATTTACAAATTCCGCATTCATACCAACATAGGGAAAATATACCTCAAAATATTACTGCAAAACAATGATAAAACATATCCACTCCTGAAACAGTACCCATGACTGAGTGTGTCAGCTGGCCGCTGCGTGGCGTGATGCTGGTAGCTAGTACTGAACCTGCAGCATGTTGGGGGGCTTGTTCCGGATCATCATGGTGGGTGTGCCTGGCTTCCTGTATGCTGGTTGGGGCTGGTTCATCGCAGACTCGTAGGTTTTCTAAGAAACCATAAGTACAGCATTAGTGCAGGCGTGTCTTTACTATGTACCGGTAATCATTTTAGTGGTGTAACGAATGATCCGACTTTTGGGGCACTGTATTGTCTGATGTTAAAATATGAATTGTTCATTTTGGGTAAGTTTGACCATTGATAATTTTTATAGATGTAATCAAATCAAAATTAGCTTAGAGAGACTTGAGTATCTGTGTAGAGGTCTTTATCAAGGCCATATAATGAAAACTACCACCCTCCATTCCCTACCAACTCCCCTAGCAACCCCTACTGAACTGTGGAAATGGTGGATGTTTCTGATGGAAGATGTTTTGTTTGTTTGTTTTTGTTTGTTGTTTCATGCTGCACTCAGCAATGTTCCAGCTATATGAAGGCAGTCTGTAAATATTCGAGTCTGGACCAGACAATCCAGTGACTGACATCATGAGCATCAATCTACGCAATTGGGATTCAAGGACATGTATCAAGCATCCCGTTAGTGGACAAGCATGGGTTGCTGGAGACCAACTTTGTTGACGTTGCTTGTATTGACTTACCCTCCTGTGTGTTCTCATCTGGGCATTGTAGAAAGCTGCAGATTCAGGGTTGTTCATCAGCAGTTCCATCTGAAGACGGTCAAACTTCTCCTGCTCATCTTCCGGCTGCCAACATCAGAAACGGACAGAGGTGTGAGAGTCAACATCAGAAACAGACAGGTGTGAAAGTCAACATCAGAAACAGATAGAGGTGTGAGAGTCAACATCAGAAACAGATAGAGGTGTGAGAGTCAACATCACAAACAGATAGAGGTGTGAGAGCCAACATCAGAAACGGACAGAGGTGTGAGAGTCAACATCAGAAACAGACAGGTGTGAGAGTCAACATCACAAACAGATAGAAGTGTGAGAGTCAACATCACAAACAGACAGAGGTGTGAGAGTCAACATCAGAAACAGACAGAGTTTTGAGAGTCAACATCAGAAACAGACAGAGTTATGAGAGTCAACATCAGAAACAGATAGAGGTGTGAGAGTCAACATTGCAAACAGACAGAGGTATGAAAGACAACATCACAAACAGACAGGTGTGAGAGTCAACATCAGAAACAGACAGAGATGTGAGAGTCAACATCACAAACAGACAGGTGTGAGAGTCAACATCACAAACAGACAGGTGTGAGTCAACATTACAAACAGACAGAGGTGTGAGAGTCAACATCACAAACAGACAGGTGTGAAAAACAACATCAGAAACAGACAGGTGTCTGACTCAACACCAGAAACAGACAGAGGTGTCTGAGTCAAGATCAGAAACAGAGGTGTCAACATGAGAAACAGACAGGTGTGAGAGTCAACATCAGAAACAGACAGGTGTGACAGTCAACATGAGAAGCAGACAGAGGTGTGAGAGTCAACATCACAAACAGATAGACGTGTGAGAGTCAACATCAGAAACAGACAGAGGTGTGAGAGTCAACATCAGAAACAGACAGGTGTGAGAGTCAACATCAGAAACAGACAGTTGTGACAGTCAACATCAGAAGCAGACAGAGGTGTGAGAGTCAACATCACAAACAGATAGAGGTGTGAGAGTCAACATCAGAAACAGACAGAGGTGTGAGAGTCAACATCACAAACAGATAGAGGTGTGAAAGACAACATCAGAAACAGACAGGTGTCTGACTCAACATCAGAAACAGACAGAGGTGTCTGAGTCAAGATCAGAAACAGAGGTGTGAGAGTCAACATGCAAAACAGAAGTGTGGGCAGCAACACATACAGACATCTTGTACGTACCATGGCATTAGGGTTGAATGGAATGATGCTGCCTGGGCGGACACCATGGCCGGCTTGTACACTTGTATGCTGATCGTCTCCCTGGCTCACAAAACTCTCGTTGTACCAAGTGTCAAATTCTGAAAGGCGTCAAGAAGGTTCCATGTTATATCACAGGAAAAGAGTACAGGACATATTTGTCATGTCAGAAATAAACATTTGACAGAAGACGGAGTGGCACTTGTTAGAAGGAACTTAAGGTAGTAATATTACACTGATATCTTGCATGGTTCTGGTTGTCTGTTGTCAAAGGAGGACATAAGTGTTTCATGATATTGATAAAACATTAAAGCTTCCACCTTCACATTTTCATCCAACCATTATGCCTAAACGATTCTTTTTCTAAACAGGTTAACCTCAATACTAGTCTGACTAATGGTAGATCAATTGTTGAAGTATTGATAGAACTTCAGAGGCAAACGGACATCTGTGGGCCACAACAACTTCTTCAACAACACCTGGTTCTCAAGCAATGACATTGAGCAAACTGGAGAAGGTAGATGATCACTCTAGGGTCAAGTCTGGAATTGGAACATTTAGAGGAAAGATGATGCAGCAGTGTGGAGCACCAGGAATACTGAACAGCCAACAGCCTGACCCCAGTTTCTTTGGTTCGGGCTTCCCATCTGGGAGTGTTACCTTGAATGAGACGTTGCCGACACTGGTCAACCAGTTTCTGACAGTACTGCACTTCAGCCTTCAGTCGCTTCAGCTCGTCATAGTCTGTCTTGTATTTCTGCTTCAGCTCTTTCAGCACTTGGATCTCCAAGAACTCAGCCTCGCTGATGATGATGTCACCATCCTCATTAAATGAGGGCCCTGTCAACATCAAACATGTTCATGAAACATGTTCTGTGGTAGAAATTACCTAAAGTTTTTACAGCAGAAATATATGTACAGAACCTTTTACACAATTTGGAGCCTGATATTGTCTGATGAGAAAGTCCCTACAAGGACAAAGATGAAGTTCATGATATGGATCTTTTGTTACACACATTGTGCATTCTAAATCCTTTCATTTCTGCAGACCAAAGGAAATTTGCAGTAATGTTTGGTCATGTTATTCTTTAGGTGCAAAGGATGCTGCACTGGTGTTCAGAGCATTAAAGATGGAAAAGCAGAAGATTTAAACAATGGAAATAACAAAGCAACCAAGTTAATTCCCTGCTTCCAACATCTTTACAATAAAATACAACGCAGATTCTTTACCGGTATGACACATGAACGTTCAGGGCAGAATAATTTAGTCAAGTAGGCAAATGGGTGTCTTCTTTTCTTATTTTTGAGCGGAATGGAAATTTGAGATCGACGGGAATTGAAAAACAAAGGAATAAATACAGATGACCAATTGGACAATCCACAGCAATACAACGTACCATTCATCTCCCTCTCTTCCTTCAGATGATCAAGCTGTGCCCTGCTCTTGTCGATATCAGTCTTGACGGTGTTAATCTGCCGAGCCAAGTCACTGTATGCCTTCGTCTTGCTGCTGAGCAGTTCTGTATCACAAACACAAGAAGATTCAATACTGATTTATTGAGTCAATACAAAAGCATATTTCACAACTAGAACTAGTTTATGCACCTTGTTAAGCTACATCAACCTTAACCTTGACAAAGTCGCTAGTATATACCCAACTTGTAACTACAAATCAAAAAGGTCCAAAGGTCTTTGGCCACATTCTCTCTACCATCCCATACTCTCACCTTTATTTTCCACCAGGATTCTGTTGATCTCACTGCCTCTTTCCTGTTTAAATTCTTCAAATGCCACAGTCCGGCCTGGGGGTGTACTGTAGACAACAGATCATTTTCAGAATCAGATAACTTTATGTATCTCAAAGGCTTGTTTGAAGATTAATGCATTGTATTCACAATTGTTTTGTGGTGAACATCTAAGTTAGATGGACAAACAAAAATTAAGCTCTCAGATCCAACAAAACAAAAGTACAACCTTACAACAGTTAATGTTGTCTAACAAAGAATAGAATATATATCTGCTTCTGTCTCCTATAGTATAAATGTTTTTTCCATTTTTTTCCCATCTGCTGACCAATAGTTCCCTCAAAAGTGCTGGCCCAATTATCTCTCCAACTTATTTTAACCAATCACAACAGAGAGTCTTTCAGTACACTAAAAGAAACAAGTGAAGCTCGTCTACCTTGGGCGTGCTTGTTTCTCAACACGAGTGGGAGGTCCAGCTGAGCTGACCGGTGATGCTGAGCCTTCCACAACCTCCTTGTCATCCTTGCGGGTGTTCTCGACTGGTGTGTGGGGAGACTTGGTGTCCCGGTCCCCCTTGGCACTCTGGGACGGGGAGGACCCACTCTTCCCACCCACAGGGCTGCAAGCAACAGAGTCATAGTGTAGGCTACACACTACATTACAAGACTTCACCATTCAGGTATTGGATATCAGTGCTTTGATTCTCAATCTACCACTTTTAAATAACATATTGGTTATGACTAATAAATAAGCATAGAACAATTAGAGAACAACAATTACAGTCTGTGGTTTCAAAAACAGTTCCAAAGACTCAAGTCTAGATTATCTTTTGTAAGAGTGTAAAATCTTTTTAAAATGGTGCAGGCAGTTCCAGTTAGACAAACAGATGGAAATCTTTCCGACTGATAGAGGACAACAAGCTTATATATACAACACAGTGTCCAGTGAAGACCAAACCTTTACTTTAGATACATCAACAAGTGTTGTTAGCATGTCCACAACACAATACAACATGACAACACAGACAGCAGACACACACCTGGACCAGTGTTAAACAATTAGTAGTTGTTGGCAACAAATGTTACATAATGGAGTTAAGACGATAGCAAAGATAGCACCACAGCAAACATAATAACTTAGTTCCTTGCAGACCATAATACCTTGGCGAATACTAACATTAGACTCAGGCATCATGACATTCAGTGTATATAGAGGGGAAATGTAGGATGTCCCCAGTTTCAAATTATATATGCAGTTACAGCTGGACTGTGGACATCTTCCCAAGGCAAGAGAGTTAACTGACTTTAAAAGTCCAGTTTCCACCCTTGCCGAACTAGGCTGGAATTACAGTTATGGCTCTTCTAAGCCTCTCCTATGGACCAATCAGATTTCACCTCTCGTATCACTTGTGTTTGCTTCACACAAAATGGTGGCGCCCAGTTAGGACGATCTGATCGATAATCAAGATCAATATTGTGATAAAACGGGTCTAACATCGCGAAATGCATCAAATCAAGTGAACACCTTGATTAAAAACATGAAAAGATTTGGGAAATATCTGCTGACAACGAGTTGGCGGTGCACATGCTTTGCAAATCCTGCAATCGACCGACATCTGCACAACAGTTTACGAACCGGATTTCAATTTTGGTGCGGGATTTTGATTTGACTATGCATAGACTCGTTAGTCCAGCCAAAATGTAACACCATAATACCAGCCTAGTTCGGCAAGGGTGGAAACTGGACTTTTACAGTCGGTTAACTCTCTTGCCTCGGGAAGATGGAGTGTGGATTGTGTAATAAACATAGTTACACCTATTCCATGGATGTTTAATCAGACAAAACGGGGACACATATCTATATCAAGTTAGTACTGTGATAATGGTGAGATGGTTAATGGAGGTGGGTGCACATTATTCTTAATTACGAGATATGCATGGAAGGCAGGTTTGACACATGTAAGTTGCGGTGCTTACCCATGATAGTACAATTTGTCACCTTCATTTCATGAAGGTGAATGCAATTTACCAATTCTTATTGTAAAATTCAAATTTATAACCATAAAAACATTCTGATTCCAAATGTAGGGTTTTAGAGCAATTACACTTTCAGGGAAAGTTAGATAACAGGAGTGGTGAGTATGTGTTTCATCTTTTCAGACAACTGTTTCGTCCCATTTTTTTAAGGTATTCAGTTAGGTGATGTCAAGTTAAGGTTGGCATGCTTGCACGTCACGCATGTCAGGAGCACCCTATACCTGCCCGCGGCCATCAGCCTAGTCACTAATCTGGCTGCCGATGCTAGACTGGGGAAAGTCAATACACCAACAATGTCATGTTTATCTACCAAACATACATATGCAAATATAACAAATAAATTTATGACATATTGGATGAATGAGAGAGAGAATTTATGGATGTCAACTTCTTTATTATGAGGAACACAATGTTTTGGAGTATATCCCTACTCCTTCATCAGATGAATAAATGCTATAGGGCAGAGAACATAGATATGTACCTGTAAGAACAACATAAATAATAACATAACAAAGGTGGAAACTTACAAGGGTAGCCAACAGGTAATTTGCCCTCATAGGTGATTAGGAATGGACAAAGGGAACTCAACACTTAACAGTGGCTTCCATTTGTCCATTTGTCCATTGCCATTTCCATTGCTATTACCTATCAGATAAAATTTAAATCCTGGCTTCCAGTTGTCCATTGCTATCACCTGTCAGTGCTAATTAACTGTTAAGAGTTAGCTTCCATTTGTCCACTCCTAATCACCTATCAGCACCAATCAACTTTTGTTGTCCTCACATGTACATATATACGCTTTCTGCCTCATAGCATTTATTCACCTGATGGAGTGAGCATATACTCCAAAACGTTGTATTCCTCATAATAAAGAAATTGACATCCATAAATTCTCTTCCTCATGTGTATCACTTCTAAATGCCTAACTTCAGAGACCTAATATTGGATGAATGGTCTCAATAATGAATTCTCATAAGTAATCTTCAAATTTTGTGATTCAATAATGAATTACATGTGTGAATGTTGTTGATTCATTGATGAACGAGGGGACATTGTTGACTCAATGATAAACTGTCATCTGTCAACTTGCAGAATCACTGATGTATTATGTGTGAATTTTGATTGAAGAGCATATTATCATCTTAATTATAATTTGTGATTGTATATCAATTAAAAATATTACATGTCAAAAGTCTTGACTTAAATTTGTTTCAAAATTTGTCGATTCAATAAGTTGTATGTGAATAGTGTTGATTAAAATGTGAATTATTTTCTATTTTTTATATTCAATATTAAATTATCCTATGGCTGTTGGATTTGTCAGTCATCTGATGATTGTATTTGAACATCACTAATAAATGAACAATTATTCTATGTGAACACTGTTTTGTACATCCCAAGTTTTCCAAATGTGCAGTTACACACAGAGACAAAACAAGAAAGACATCAGGTCTTCAACCCAAAAGAGTGAATGAACAATGTGCATGCATGTGCGATGTCAGATGAACGAGATGCAGGATGCAATACAGGAATATATCAACAAAAACAAACATAAGGAACAAAACAAACTGCCAAAGGATTTGTAAAGGTGAAGCCAATGTGTGTGGTAAAGGGCGTACCTCTGCTTCCCTCCTCGGGTGCCACTCCTCCTCTCCTTCTCCTTCTCCTTCTTCCGCAGCTGTACAACAGCTGATGGTTCCGCTTTGGCCGACCTCGGCGCCGTTCCAACACCAAACCCAGACCCGTCCGACTCCCCAACCAGAGATCCATCATCAGCGATGCTTATTCCAGCCTGAAAATTGGTTAAGGAAATCATTTATACCAAGATGCATGGTGACTGGCTAATCCCTGCTTAATTATTTTGTGAGATGACATCATATATGATTTTTTTCTGAAATGAACAAAAAGTGAAAAAAATATACAATAAAAGCTGTTTTTAATTTTCCAAATTCAACGACACTATAACCTTGCAAAATCACAACGATACACTTTTAGTATCCACATCACCTGGATGTGGGAGGCAGGATGAAAGCGATGCATCCTTAGACCGAGGGGACCACCTGTTTCTACCAGTAAACCAAGAACTAAAGTGATGTCCTTATCCAATATAGAGATTACGTGTCTCTATATTGTATGTGAACAATTTTGTTTTACAAATTCTTAAACCTTCTTGCAAAGTATCTGTCCCTAAAAAACTAATGCTGTAAAGCCCTTGCCTAGTATCCAGACTTTCACAACAAAATCACTCATAGAGTCCTTTTATCCTCATTATCTAAGGCAAGTACCGTATTCGACGTAATAAGCGCCTCGCTCTAATAAGCGCCCATGGCGATATTTGCTGATATATTGGGTAGTGAACAATCCTAATTAGCACCCCTTCCGATTGATCAATGTACACAAGACTTATTTATTTGTGTATAATACGCACTCGTATGTTATATGCCCCCTTAATTATGGGCAATTAAATTCTGGAAAAATATATCTGTCGTATATGATATGCACAGACTTTTCTTTGGCTGTCAGCATAAACCACGAAATTCACGATCTTTCAACTCTGGCTTTTTTTTCAAAATAAGGTTCCCCTATTTCTAATTTTGAGATCGCCCTGGGGGCTTATTACGTGGAATATGGTATGTGTTCCTACGATGCTCCACCGTTCACGTACCTGCTGGGCAGCTGCTATGGCTGCTGGGTCAGTTCGGTCAATCAGTGTAAACTTCTGACGGAGCTTGTCCTCAATCGTTTGTGCCATTTGGCTTGAAGACACACACAAGAAAACCGTAAGTATAAAGCAATGTCAACAATGTTTATCAACACATGTTGGGAATCAGTTAGTCATGATCAGTTTGTTCCAACTGATAAATCATTGATCATAGTATGTTGTCCATTTTCATGTTTAGTTTTGGGAAATCCAAATTCAAAGTTGTTGGGGTATTTTAATCTTGAGAAGCTATGTGTTTATAAAAATACTTGATATGTTGCATATTGATGATGAATGTGTTTATGTGTAATTACTTGTAAATAGCATTTATATCCAAAACTGATCCTAATGGTTATGGACACTTACAATAAATCATTGCATAAAGAGAGTAACCAATCAATTACTGTAAATCTTGAAATTAACGCGAGCGTGAATTAAATGCGAAAAATGCAAGTGGTCTTTGCTCGCATTAATTAACTTCGCATTAATGTCTCCAAAATGACTATCAACAATAAGACGGCCTCACTACACACTTTGGACAGCGGAAATACCAACTTGAATAATAACACAAACAGGGTTTATTGAGCAGCAGTTGTAACAAGTATATAACAATGTCATTCAAACAATAGGAATTACACAATGGGCATCCAGTGAGTTATCACTGCTGGGATCAAGAGTTCTTCCCACTCGTGTCAAGCTTGTTGACACCTTCTTTGTATACCTATCGGTGAAATGGTGTTGGTTCAGTTATTTTATTGCTTTTGAACTTCCTTAATGCCAGTCAACAGAGTAAACATATAAACTGTGTGTTAAGGAAGAGAACATATGGATGTCAACTTCTTTATTATGAGGAACACAACGTTTCGGAGTATATGCTTACTCCTTCATCAGGTGATCCTTCATCCTTTATTCACCTGAAGGAGTAAGGATATACTCCGAAACGTTGTGTTCCTCATAATAAAGAAGTTGACATCCATATATTCTCTTCCTTATGTGTATCACTTCTAAATGCTTTTCAAAGACCTGAAACTGTGTGTTGTTTTTAGGAAAACACTGTCCATTGTTTTTATGGTAGTGCTCTTCTCAGTGCTAATAAGCGGTGCTATTTGCTGTTTGATTGGATTAAGGTAAGGTTGAATTAAGGTAAGGATATGCATCATTCCACTCCAGGGGATGGGGTGGGGGAAGTCACATTGATATTGAGTCGCATTTTTGGGTAGGGGTCAGCAGTCGTATCAATTTGGAGACACATTAATTTCCAGATTTACAGTATCTATTATAATCGATCATCAGTATATTACCAATATCAACACATAGAAAAGTTGATTATTGCTAGGGATTTTTTCTAAATATTTTAATGTTTTCCTGTTATGGACTTACTGATATATATCCTTGAAGGCGTCGTATGTGCCTTGTATTTGACGTATATTCACAATCTGAAAAGTAAAAGTCAAAATACACATTAACAATATTTCACTTAGTGTGTGTGTGTTCACTGTAGATCCTTCTAAATCCTACAATCTGATTGGCTGAAAGGGTCTGTTTCTTTTGCATTCCTTTCCCAATAAGTCAATTGAGGACTATTTTCATCCCAATGAAACCATGTTCATGAGTCCCAGAGATCGACAGACATCATACACCAACATTGAACAAAAACACAGAATCAGAGTCATGGTGTCAGCCATTTCCTCTACACAAACCTGAATTCACAAGCACTGGTGGACATATATACATGATAGGCTGACCAGTCCTGCCACCTTCCACACTCACTAAATATACACATGCCTCTCCACCACACAACCTCAACAAACCCAGAAGAACACAGGCGATACTGCAGTAAACCTATAGATCCTTCAAGATTGACATGTAAACATTATTATTCAAAATAGAAGAAGAGTAAATGACGGTATTGTGTGTCCTGCTGGTCCTAGTGCAGGTATTTTAATACCCACTTCCCCGAGGGTCCTGTCAACTTACATCTACTTCATCCACTTCTCCTTGTAAGAAGGTCTGGACTTGCTGGCGGATGTCATACTTCTGTTGTTCCGACAATGACTCATACGATATCTGACTTCTATTGGTCTGCAAAGAAACACCTATACTGAAAAACTTTCAAAAATAAACTATAAAGTATTTTAACCTCAAACACATAAAAATATACATTTGCAAAACACTGTTTTACATTCATCTCATAGTGAGTGAGTGAGTGAGTTTGATTTTATGCTGCTTTTAGCACACCAGAAATGGGCTTCACACATTGTACCCATGTCGGGAATCGAACTCGGATCTTCGGCATGACGAGCGAATGCTTTAACCACTAGGCTACCGACCCGCTCCCATCGACCTCATAAAAATCAGATCTTTTACTCCGATAAAAATCTGCACGTAAAATGACAACCCCTCCATACGAGACTGCATAAGGTCAGCCAATCAGTATAGAGGCTTCTAGCGTCCCAATACGAGTAAGCAAAGCATTCAGAGCAGCATATCTGATTTCTGTATCTTGAAAAAGAACTTATGGATATTTCATTCACCATGTTAACTGTTAGAGCCATGGCATCTACACCCAACACAGATAACCATCACAGGAACGAACATCTGAGCTCTGTGTTGGTTCCTTTTGTTAAATTTAAAATTTCTGAATCAAGGTGACTCAAGAACCCACACATTCTTCATTTAGATTTGGTGGTCAAAGTTAGCTCAGGGTTCACTAGACGCGACCTTCTATCAAGATGGAGTGTTAGGTCTTCACACACAGATGCATCGTAAGAGTTAAAGGTCTACCATTAATTTTAAAGAGATTGTCAAAAGGTTGACCACCTGAAACCCATTTAGGCCTCTCTCTTAAGTGTAGAGTGGAGCTTTACCCACGAGTAGCTACATTTCGTTACCTCAAAGTCAGAGTCACCAGAGACTGTTGTGTCTGTAGGTTAAATGTAATGTACAACTACAACAAAACACTCACCAGAGTATCATGCATAGCCAGCTCTGATTTGAGATGAGAGATCTCCCTCTGGAGCTTCTTCACAAGGATCTGCAACAAGACAGTAGATATATGTATACAGCACTTGCCTGAATAATGAAAATATTTTGGTTACTTTCAAAATTTAAGCAATTTAATTTTTACTTGATCAAATGATACTTATATAAACATGGAATGGAATGTTTCATGTCAAAGCAGTACACATGACAAATTGACAAACAACCTTCCTCTGATATCTGTGGATTATTCTGTAGTCTGTATGTAATTAATTCCATACCTGACAACAAAGCATACCAACAACTAAGGGAAATGATGAACTACAGGGTGACATGACAAAGCAACTCACGGCTGGGTCGTAGACTTCATTGACTGCTGGCTCGCACATCAGGCACATCATACGAGTTGCAAACCTAAGAGTTGACACCTGCAATATTCACACATACAGTCACAAAGACAGTTTAATAAATACATTGCTTTAAGGTCCACAGATCATCATCGCTACAGTCAAGTCCCGCTATTTGTCACAGAGTGAAGAAATGTCCCCCGCCGCCTTATGCGATATGTGTTTGTTTTTTTCCAAATATTTTATTCCTTTTGAATAATATTATTTTCTGTGTGAGATACCTCCATGAAGGAATCCAGAAATTAGTTCTTGAGATAGCGCAGCAACACTGTTTTCCATCTCGAATAACAGATTTCCTTGCTGTTACCTTGAAAATAAAGTTAAGGTTACCAAAATCTACTGGTGTCTGCGGAGTCTGTATATACACCATAGTACCAAATATGAAGACAATCCAGCGATTAGTTCTTGAGATATTGCGGCAACACTGTTTTCCAACTCCAAAAGCAGATTTGCCTGCTGTGACCTTGAAAATGGGGTCAAGGTCACCAAAACCGACTGGTGTCTGCGGTGTCTGTATATACACCATAGTTCCAAATATAAAGACAATCCAGCGATTAGTTCTTGAGATATCGCGGCAACACCGTTTTCCAATTCCAAAAGCAGATTTGCCTGCTGTGACCTTGAAAATGGGGTCAAGGTCACCAATACCGACTGGTGTCTGCGGAGTCTGTATATACACCATAGTTCCAAATATGAAGACAATCCAGTGTTTAGTTCTTGAGATACCGTGGCAACACTGTTTTCCAACTCCAAAAGCAAGTTTGCCTGCTGTGACCTTGAAAATGGGGTCAAGGTCACCAAAACCGACTGGTGTCTGCGGAGTCTGTATATACACCATAGTTCCAAATATGAAGACAATCCAGTGTTTAGTTCTTGAAATATCGCGGCAACAAACAGGTGGGACGTACGTACGGACGTACGTACGGACGGTCGAGAATACTATGTCGCCTGCTCCGCGCTTTTGCGCGGCGGGGGACAAAAATAAAATATTCATACATGTGTATTGTTATGTTACATTGTTAGTGGAATATGTTTTCTTATCATGCAACCCATAAAGCTTAACAAAACAACTGTTACGCAAAGCTCAAGAAAATTCTTTCTTAGTGGCTAATGTCGACTTCCTGTGTCATGTCGGTCAAAGTTCAGGAAAGGTCATTCTGACGTAATGGGATGTCCTCAGCGGTAGTGAGAACTTGTATCTGATTTTAATGAGATTGAGGTAATCTTAGCATGCGATTAATCCGGTGTTGTTTATTCAAAGCATTAATAATTGTTTCTTGTTCAGCAAGTTTTTCTCTGCAGCCGTTGTAATATGTTGCTACTTGCCGACTCGTATTACATCAAAACACGGGCTGTGCACTCGCGGGCAGATGACCATGGAGTACCCTGATCACTGTGTCAGATTAACGAGACTGATTAATGAGTAATGGTAATTTATTGCAAATTAGGTGTGTCGGAGTAGGAGTGCGAGACTGACAGATTAACAAGACTAAATAGCACTGATTTAATCCATCATTAGTGTCCGATAAAGCCGATTGTCAGATTAACGCCACATGACTATTTTTGACTGAAATAATGCTGATGGGATGTCTAATCTTTGCTCACTCACTGTGTCAGCATATATCATATAAAAGAATCCACAGTTTTCAGTATACCAGTTCTTGGCAATTGATAATCCTTTCCAGAAACATAATCTACCAATGTTGAAGATGAAGTGCTTCACTAATCAATGGAAACTTGTTAAAAACATCTTTATATGCAAAACATTCTGAGTTTCTGGTCCTGTTTAATCAGTTAATGTAGGTTATTCTCAGGTAACTCACAGTTTCCTCAATCTGTGCTCTCTCACCCCACAGGTTGGCTACCAGCAGAGTATTACACTGCCCCCCTATAGAGTCCTTCAGGTAGTGAGTCAGCTTGGACTGACGGAATGGGATGTGTTCTCGGCGTTTGTCTGCCAGCGCTATGATCACTTGCTCAAGGAAGGTCAAGGATTTGTTGATATACATAGCCTCTGTTTGGGTTTTCCCTGCAGACTGCAAGTAGATGTTTAGAAAATAAGTGATCACCAGAATAGGAACAGAAACTTTCCACGGGAATTGGTCAAAACGTCTTCATGTGTTTCATAAATACAGTGCATACACCTTTAAATAAATAGTTAAGATAGTCAAAATTTCTATTACTCATTACAATGAAGATAGCTCTCTGGTTAAACATTATAAGTTCTGTGTATCTTACCTTTGTCTTGCCTAATCTCTCTGAGCCTGCAAGGTCTACAAAATTTAACTTGGAAACTGTATATCTGGCGTTTGACTGAACCCGAGATCTTGACTGAAATATAGAACAGGCAGAAAAAGGTTATTTAGGTACCCACACATTATTCTGAAAATGAATTTATGCTATATTATTTTTATTTTTTAAATTCTTGAAATTCCTCACCTCAATATAGACAGTAAAGATGCAGTGAGATCGAGATGACATTGTGTTGAGAGAGTGAGATGCAATAGCTCTGTTTGTCTCCCCCTGAAATACACAATCAGTCATCAATATCCAGGACTCTTTCATGCTTGACATAATGCAGTGTTTGAAATATTTTTAAAGCCCAACAGGACAGTCGGGCAGATGACCAGTAAGTTGGCTGACCATCTTCAAAGTTACCTGCTTGCATTCAGACATTACAAATATTGAAAAAGTGCGTCTTGATTCAGGTGAAATAATGCAAACAATCACTTCCGAATCTACAAGAAGTTATAATAAATCTGAATACATAAGTAGTCTTAAAATTATCTGCCAGACAGTCAGGCAGATGGAGGAAAATTTCATGCAGCCCAACAGAAAATTTACCAGCCACGGGCAGGCAGTTATTTTGGACACAATGGTAAAAAGAGAGTGTAAGTTTAACTTCACATTAGCAGGATTCAAATCCAATTCCTTAGCAGAACAAGCAAACACTATAACCACTGGGCTACCCCACTTCTTTTATGATAACAAGTAAAATTATATCAAACTTATTGTAATATAAATGTGTCCACATTCCACAGGGATATAAATGAATTACCTCTCAGTTGAAATCTAAAAGACATGTACCCCTGTTCATTACAGTTTGTAACACTGACTGTCCTCATCAGTGTCATTCTTTCTCCTTAACTTCAAGTTACTACCACCACAGTCTTACCTCAAATAAAAGGTTAAGTGCTTCCTCCTCATTCTGTGCAAGATGACATGACAGCCCTTTGACAAACACCCCATCCTGGTTTTCCACAACGACCATCGGTTCTGCTTGACTCTGGTTCCAGGATTCAGGAAGACTCGACAGCAGGTCAAACATTGACTCATTGTAGATCTCCAGATAGGAAACTCTGTCACAATCATACAAGATTTCCATGCTAAAATGATTCAGTGATAATAATCGACTCAGAACAATCACACACCATGTTCACGTAAGAGTGAGTATAGTTTTACACAATTTTAGGAATATTTAATTTCACACATTGTACCATGTGGGTCTTCCTCTTTAACCATTTGTATATTGCCAGTTGTTTTTCGACTTCAAAGCAAAAGATGTCTTTGTTATAAAAAAAATAATGTAGATGTTTCTAGAGGAAACGCTTACACTGAAATCGACATAAATGCAGGATTTGACAGATATGCTGGTCCACTAGACAAGTGCCAGTAAACATAAATCATGTCCAGTTATAATAATAATATGATCTGACAAGCTTATGGATAATTTGAAATTTCAAGTTTCTTAAATTTCTTTACCTTTAACAGAATGAAGGGACAGAAATAGTGAGTGAGTTTGATTTAACGCCGCTTTTAACAGTATTCCAGTTATATCACGGCGTGTTAGCTTAATGTGGGAGTTTTACCACTTCGGAAACCCACAAGCATGGGTATGATGCTGACAAACCTAGAAACATAATTGGGGCGAATCGGGATTCAAACCCACAATCATAGATTTCTGGCGTGCCCAAGGGACGCAACTCTGCACAGCAAATCGCGGCGCCTTAGACGACTGGGCCACCCATGCCCCCTGGGACAGAAATATTTGCAATCTAGAGGACTCAAATATCATTGAAAATTATTTAATGAATCTTGGACAGTTATTCAGCACATTGTCTGTAGGATCATTGATTTTGCGGCATTTGTTTTGTTTTGTCACACCACTGAATTATTTAAAGTCATTGACGACATTACAAATACATGGTATGGTGCACTTTATTTCTAGATACCTTCTTACACACAACAATCATAACATTGTGGCACAATCCTACTAAACCATGATAACTATGTGATGTAGTCAAGTCACCTGACAGTGATGGCAAGCTCTGGCCTCTCCTCAATCTCTCGGAACAGCTGAGACAGAGATCGTGGGATGAGTCCTCTGTGCTTGTAGTTCTCTGTGGCTCCAGTCATTGTGAAGGTTTTGCCTGAACCAGTCTGCCCATAGCACATCAGGGTACCTGCACATGTTCAAACAAGTTAAAGTCAATGCTGTCTGGACACCTAAATGTTTATGTGTTATATGTATATATTCTTCTGAAATTTAATCACAGTTTATTTTGTGAGCCAATGCTGTGCATTTGACATATAATTCAAACAATCTGGATCGGCATGTTCTGTTTATGAATATTCAGCTGACGGGTTGAAGAGACGTCACCAAAACATTTTATGAAACAAATCTACAACACAACGTATTTCAATAATCTGATCCGTGGCAACTGACAACAAGAATGTTGTTCTGACATAACAATAGTTTACAACCAATCAAGTTGCATTTGTAATTTCCATGGTAGCAGATTGCAAACATACAAAGCAAATTACATGATATTTTAATTTAAAAAAGAAATTATTTCCAATTATCATTTGATTATTGATGAATTAAGTCTGTCATGAAAAGACATACGAACCATTATACCCATCCAAAGCACCAGTGACAATGTCAGATGCCACTGTTCCAAACACTTGTTCCTGATTAGCATTGTGGAATATTCCATCAAGCTTGAAAGACCAGTCTGAAATTTGGTTGTTCACAACACCTTTCTTGGGATCTCGTTTTTGGTGGACATTGACACTCTGGAACAATAAGATACATTACTTTGGGTTCAGATTAAGAAATTGTCAGACTGCATGTTTTCCAAATTGACCAAGAGTTTTTTCTAATTAAACAGTAATGACAATAATGTTGTAGCCTATTGTTTCATCTGAGAGTGAACCGTGAACTGTCACTACCCGTAATAGGTCCACATGTACGTGTGTGTTATTTCTGTATGCTGAAGTTTGAGAAGCATTTTCTCACACGTCTTCGAGTTTGATCGTTGCAAAAGATGAAAATCAATAAACATTACCTTTTTATCGGCCATCAATTCAAGATTATCATGTGCAAAGTTTGCTGTTGGGCGAATCCTGCCCCATACTTTAACTTTTCTTCCTCTGGTTTTGGCACTCATGATTGGAGTTTACTTCTAAAACATTCAACAAAATATGACACAACCAACTATTCTCAATACCAATCCACCATATTTGTTATTGGGGTTGTTAGGATATCTGCGCATGTGCGAGTTCTCGAGTTCTCGCATTATCGCACGAGATTTCAGAAAGTTGTACTTCCCTTGAAACAAGTTATCATGCGCATGAAGGCATCAAATAACTCCAAGGAAACCATATTTTCCATATAATCCGTATAACAATAAAGATTTCTAATCCTCATTTTTACTCATTTAACTCAATTTACTAGAATTACAAGAGAGAAGGGTATATCAGCGAGTATGTATAATCTTTCTGGATATACAGGCTGTACAAAAATGCCTGCACAAACAGGTTTCCGTTCATTTTTTATCACCAACCGGACATGAGAATTGTCCTCGGATAGAAACATATAATTGCTGACTGGTATAGACAGACGACAGGTGACTTAATTTAATTGGGATACCGTGATAATTGGTAAATCTTGATTGCAATATATCCACTGATTGTCGTAGCTCCTGTGAATTTACGATGAAAACAGAAATCATTCGTAGTAGATTAAGAAACATATTACATCATATGTGTGGTGGGTTTTCACCTCTGACTTGTTGAATTCTTTAGCTGTTGGGTGAGAATAAAAATATTCAAATGTGCTTTGAAGATTTGTCGCTCCCTATCTGAAACAAATCACCTCTTCGTTTCACTAAGGAACACCGTATATAGTTTTATAAATACTTTAATATTTTCACATTGTGTTAGGTGAATGTTTTGTAATGGAGTTTTTAAAAATCCTCCTGTAGTATATGTACTTATTCCTGGTGAGCATGGGTGTCCCAGTCGTCTTGGAAGCCGCAATTCGCTGTGATTGCAGACCCACAATCGTATGATCGGAGTTCGAAGCCCACATTCACTCTGATTATGATTCATGGTTTGTAAGTACCATACAGAGCGCGTGGGTTTCACCAAAGTGGGTACAGGTCATGCATCACATCGGGCTTTCTTCCCATTGACACTGATATACTGATCAAAGCAGTGTTTAACCTCACTTACTTCCTGTAAATCAGTTGTGCTGCAAGGATGCACTCGTTAAATCTCCAGTCAGCCAATCAGAGATGCATATCAGAATTCAGCGAAGTCTTTAGTGTTTTGCATCCCAAGCGTTTTGTTTGAAGGGTTTGAAGAACTCATGGATTATTTATTTGGTTTATGAAGTTTCTCTCGCATACATATTATCGGTATGTCTGAATAAGTGCAAAATGTATTTTGTTTACATTTGAAAGATTTACTTTTTGATCATTGATATCAAGAAATATATTTAAGCATCTCTTTATATATATGTTTCATGTTAATAGGGGACGATTTAAAATTGATATAATTTGATCCAATGTTTAGACAATACATCGTTTAAGTGGATAACATAGAGGGGAACATTTTGTGCCTGGGCCTATTTGCATCCCTTGCAAGCCAACCTATTCAACTTGTTCACGTCATCCAATGACCTGGCTCTCCCGTCCACAACGTTTGGATGACTGTGTATACGTGTAACCCATGCACATGGCGATTCTAGCGTATTTCAGCCAACGAAAACAGTGACAAATTTGTTTGTGAACGAGTCACCGTGTGATTCCACCACTTTGTGTGATGCTCAAACACCCCTTTTATGTCTGCCAACATCTTTGATTGTCATGACTTTTCTATCTCTATTTTGTTATGATACATTTTATGGAAAACTGGATAATTGAGGATGGTCTTCTGTGACTCAGTCGTTCATGTAATCAATCAAGAAGTCTTGACTACCCTAAATAGGTAGTGTCAGTTTCACGCAAAGTTCTAATTACATCGGCTAGACCTTGGGCACCCGACCAAGGAGCATTTGACTCTTTTTGAGAAATGTTGTCTTATCTGACTCCGCTTTCCGTTTTTATCTGACTCCGCTTTCCGTTTTGTGTTGGGACTAAACCGGGGAGAATCTGCGTAAACAACGAGAGCGACATAGGTTCAGTGTACCCATAAGACAAATGTACACGAGGATTCATTGTTTGTTTGTTTGTTGTTTAACGCCGCACTCAGCAATATCCCAGCTATATGACGGCGGTCTGTAAATAATCGAGCTTGGACCAGACAATCCATTGATTGACATCATGAACATCGATCCACGATGACATGCTTCAACCAAGTCAGCAAGCCTGACCACCCGATCCCGTTAGTCGCCTCTCACGACAAGCATAGTCGCCTTTTACGGCAAGCATGGGTTGCTGAAGACCTTATTCTACCCCGGATCTTCACGGGTCGAGGATTCATTGATAAGTTCTAAGCCTCAAATAGAAGGAATTGTGTAATAGAGAAATGTTTTGATGTGGATGTTAAATTATGTCATTGAGGTATATCCAGACATAAATTGAGTCAAATGAGCAAATTATTAATTAATTAAGTCAGAAACACAAGCAGGAGTCTAGACCTTTAGAAAATGGGCAACCTCGAGGAATAACTGGTGTGGAACATGTAATTAATGCAGATTTGTTATGAGGATTATATAAGGTGAGGTAAAATGGGGTTTAACGCTGCGTTCAGGACTTATTTTGCACTGACACAACACTCGTGCATGTGCGCGCGCGTGTGTGTCTGATTGTAATGCCGGTTGTATAGTGTTAGCCAGGCAGGGTAACAACAGGTACCATAATTAAAATATGTTAGCCACTTTTGGTATGACGCCCCCGGGCTCGAAAAGTAATTTATATAAACTCACTGATGTCGGCCCCCGTGAAGATCAGATGGTCAGGCGAGCTGTGTATCCCAAGTTCGTCGATCGATACTCATGATGTCAATCACAAGGCTTTTGATTCAGACTCGATTATTTACAGCAAGCCAGAGAGCTAGAATCAGAGACCATATCGAAATATCGTATCTGCTGGAATATTGCTGAGTGCAGCGTTAGGCAACAACAACAACAACAAAAATAATTGAGCTCGGCGTGTTCTGATATTGGTCTGTGGTACATACTATTTCTGAATGGTATGGTTAATTGTTTCGAAAATTTGAAACATAAGTGCAACACCATAATAGGGAGTTCTGTAGGCATTGCTTCACCAGTTATGAGTAGTTTGTAGGGGTACAGTACACAAATGGCCGCCTCCATGAAAGTAAATATTGGGGTTTTTACACGATGTTTGATTTTAGTTATTTATGTTGTTAATGTGACTTACATGAGATAACTGCATATCGAAATACGGCTACAGTAGTGACAAGTACCGAGGACAAGTAAGAATGTCGGATTCGATTCAGCGTAGAGGCGGGAAGCAAAGGTAATCGTTGTTTTACATTTTTATCACTCCGTGTCACCTCACCTGTCAAAATGAAATGCGTATCAGATGCATGTGTCAGTAGGAGTTATTGCTTGATAAGATATCACACGGTTCCCATCACTTATCGTGATGACTGACTTTATTTATTACAAACTATTTGTCATAAAATATTTTTAAAATCTGTACACCAATCTCATTGTGTATCAGATAAAGTAGGCTATTTTGTAACCCAAGGTAAACGATAGCTTGCATAGGTGAAAGAAGGAAATATTATTATTTTTGCGAAAGACCGTAAGAATGACATGTCAGTTCAACACGGAGGTGCGAAACAAAAGGTAATCATTTGATACTTTTATCACTGACACCTCACCTGTCAAAATGAGATTTGTTATACCTATCAGCTGTGTATGTCAGTAGTTGTTCATGTTGTTAATTGATAAAATACAACACGGTTGCCATCAGTTAACATGGTGACAGTAATTCATATGTCAGTATTTTCAATTACCAGTTTAGTTATTTCAAATGTCATGTTGATCATGGTGATCTGGGAGAACAAGTAGAATGCAGAGTAAAATGATGATGTTGAATAAGCTTCCTTTCCATCTCTATATCATCATGTTATCAGTTTACAGACATTTCCATGTTTTTTTCATCCCAGGGACCATGTAAATAGTTGCAGTAACTGTACCTCTCATTCATTTCCCGTTTAATATCAGTTTTTCTATGTGTCTTTATTTTTATTGTTTATTTGTTGTTTAACACCGCACTCAGCAATATTCCATCTATACGATGGCGGTCTGTAAATAATCGAGTCTGGACCAGACAATCCAGTGATTGACATCATCATGATCATGAGCATTGATCCACACAATTGGGATAGATGACATGCATCAACCATGTCAGCGAGCCTGACCGCCCAAACCTGTTAGTTGCCTTACGACAAGCAAGGGTTGCTGAAGTTAGAGCTCCAGATACGGATTTGGTGTTGTGGGTATTTTACCCATGCATTTTAAAATCATTGGGTATCAGTAATTCTATCTGGGTATTCAAATTTCTGTTACCCACTAGTTTTTACACATGTGGGTATTTAAGTTAAATATTTAAAAACACTATTCATCTAGTCCCTGCAAACTGGTGTCGTGTGGGTTCGAGAGCTTTATAGGACTCAAAAATACCACGATACTTCCACAAGAAAGTGTGATGGCAAATGATCATGATGTAACTGTCATCATGGAGTTTGGCAAGGTTGACGGAATGTCCGTTTATAATTTCAAAATCAGTTGCTGATTTGCTAATCAAATCTGCAGGGTTACTTCACAATATTTTGATGATACGCACAAGTTATATTTTTGTAGCGAATCTGTAATGTTCGTTGCGTATTTGAAAAGCTTGGATTTTATTTTACTGCATATTTCTGCATTTTTTATGCGTATTTTACGCAGATACGCAGCTTATCTGGAGCTCTGTTAAGATCTATTCTACCCCGAATCTTCATGGGTTTTTCTGTATGTCACTACGGGGGCTACGGATTGTCCTATAAGTAAATTTGCCAATGTGCGCTATAGGCTTCAAATCCTAAAATATTTTTAAAATCTATGCACCAATCTCTTCCTTAACCCTCATGGTGTTGGCTGTTTTTAAGCAGAAGGAAAGCTTGTGTAGGTAAAAGAAGGAAATATTATTATTTTTGCAGTACATTTATAATAAATATCAAGATTAAGTGAAGGTAAAAAATTGCAAAAGTATAAATGACTTCAATTTGAATTTCATTCAATTTATGCATTGCTGTGCTCAACAATCGGAATTTGTTTCATTGCGACCAGAAAAGATATACCTCCTCGTCCCACCTTGTTTTACGCACTTGACTGCCTTACCTGGACCATTGCTCAAAATATAGTTTTATGGAAATAAACTTTTTTCTTTGATCACTGTTGATATTTATTGTTATAAATACAGGCAATGTTTTGATTTGATTTATCTGTCATGTTTTACTTTATATACTTCGTTTCCCTGACACATGAAGTTTTCACCCCAAGACCATCAACTTCAATACACCTGGTAGTTAAAGACATACTTGATTGTTCATTTCAAATAAAGTTTCCTGTTTCATACTATTCTACAAAAGGAAATCAATAATGATAACAGATAAATTAAAACAGTAAAATTATTGGTCATAAAAGGAAAAGCAGAATATGAAATCATAGTATTGAACTACAAATATAAGAGAATTTGTAGTGGCATACTTGTTGTAAGTGGTTTTCAGTAATTGTGTATTGTGTTTTATATTGTTTTTTTGGCATACTTAAAGGGCAAGTGAGTGAATGAATTGGGTTTAACGCCGCTTTTAACAGTATTCCAGTTATAACGCGGCATGTCAGCTTAATGTGGGAGGAAAGCCCGAAGTGATGCAGGTCTCAGATGTTTACCACTTCAGTGAAACCCACAAGCACGGGTATCATGGGGTATGGTGCTGACAAACCTAGAAACATAATCGGGGCGATCCAGGATTCGAACCCACAATCATAGTTTCTGGCGTGCCCAAGGGACGCAACTCTGCACAGCGAATCCCAGCGCCTTAGACGACTAGTGAACTGAAAAAAAATGATTGTGATTTTGTTGAGAATATAAATCTCAAAAACATATTTGGTCAATTTCTGAGAGAGAAGAATTCGTAATATTTTTTTAAAATATTTGAATGTCAAAGTGAAAGTGCTAAAATCAGATACGGTACTTCATAATCGTCTTCCAAAACAAACCTATTTGGGGGTATGGCCTGAAGCTACCAGTGCATGACAAATGTTTTCTTTGACTGATATGTAGACTTGTTTGCTGCCTTTGTACATCTTGTGATTCTTAGACGCTAAACCGTATCTGCTTTTTCTGTTAATCCTACAAAAATAACAACATTGCATGCATTGTTGAATAGCTGAAACAACTTCTGATCTTTTTATAAAATAACCATTAACAATTTGCAACTAGCTTTTTATCACTAAAGTCTAGGGCTGGCTATCATTACAGATCATAGAGATCGATAATCATCAACTTATTATTGATCAGTTATCGATAAATATTGGAGAAGTAACTTTGAGCAAATATGTAAAAAAGTCTGAAAGAAATCAACACACTTCATGCCCCTGGCTAGAGGTGACACATTTCTGCATGGAATACTTTGTGTACTTTAGAGTGATAACAGTTGCTTTCAATTTTGGCAATTGACATGATTGACAATAACAAGTCTGTTTCGGTAAATTTAAACTTTATTTCATCACAATTATTTATCATGTTTATGTAAGATATTATCGATGAGTAAATTTTCATATCTAAAATCATTAATATTTCTTCCCATCGACGATAATTCAGATTATTGACCTTTTTAGCCAATTTCCTGAGTAGATGCATGAAGTCATTATCAATGTTGTTACTAATAAGGCGGGGGCACACGTGGCCCAGTCGTCTCAGGCGCCGGAATTTGCTGTACAGTGTTGCGTCCCTTGGGCACACCAGAAACCTATGATTGTGGGTTCGTATCCCAGGTGGGGCCATGGGTGGCCCAGTCGTCTAAGGCGCCGTGATTCGCGGTGCAGAGTTGCGTCCCTTGGGCACGCCAGAAACCTATGATTGTGGGTTCGAATCCCAGTTCGCCCCGATTATGTTTCTAGATTTGTCAGCACCATACCCGTGCTCGTGGGTTTCACCCAAGTGGTAAACGTCTGAGACCTGCATCACTTAGGGCTTTCCTCCCACATTAAGCTGACACGTTGTGATACAACTCAAATAAAATCGGCGTTTAACCCAACTCACTCACTCACTACTAATAAGGCATAACTTTAGGTTACTCAAGGTAATCAAACAGATGAGCAGACAGAAAAAGACTGTAGTGCGATAAAAATATCTGAGGTGGAAGTAGGCAGACTAAGCGCCAGCAGAATGGTTCAAATTGGGCAGCGTGTCAAACACCAGGAATCCTTTTTAACCCCAGCAAAAGGAATTCCCCCCCCCCCCCCCCCCCCCCCAGTGGTGAAGGTTTTCGTTTTGGGGACGATTTTGCATGTAATTATTTATCGTCTGTTTATTTTATAAGGTGTATTAGATTATATATATACCTAGATAATTAGATATCAATTATAGTATGATTACATGTTACATGTACATTAGACATACCTGAAACATATGTGAAACTGACCTTGAAACAAATTGTTTTCAATATATTGAAAATTTGGGCTGGAAAATTATTATTTCTTGCTATCCACATACATGATCTAAGCCAATATATCAACATGACCAATCATATTTTTCCTGTTTGCACCTGAATTGTGTTTAGAGCAGTGTATGGTACATAGAACAGCATTTCCTTATTAATCTAAATGTTCAAAAGTTTAAAGTGTAAACGGCTACTGATGAAACATGTACACTTCGTAACTTGTCAATGTTTATCCTCGATGCTATGCTGTTAAGAAAGAATTGTCCTGTTAAAATGTCTCTCACAACCACCTGTCATTGATGATAAGCTGTATATAATACCCATGAGACCATTTACTTGGTTCATACAGGCCATGAAAATCTGGAGATGTCATGGAATTTCAGTTTGAGTTAAGTTTACTTTGGGAAATAGAAAATTGATATAAAGTCATGGAAAGGTCATGAAAAATAATATGTTTATACCAGTAACATCCTTCTGGTAATATATCAGCAGCAAGAAAAAAAATAAAAACTCAACCATCGACTGTTTCCCATGTTATTCTAATTCTAGATATATAAATTGTGGCAAATCACTAGTCCTGGGACGGGTAACTCGGGTACTCAGGTCGGGTGGGTTCTGAGTAGGACCCAGGTACCCACATGACTACCCGGACCCGTGGTTAGTGTTGTGGTATACTGTTATGACATAAACAATAAAACTCAATGGTTACACTACAAGTATAGCTGATGTTCACATTTCTTTTATGTGTTCGAGTAAGGATAAAGCGTCTATCAACTGCAGTGTATGCATTACCAGATCG